CCCCCCCTTTAAAGGGCCAATTTTTTTTACAGGACCACCGGACCCCGGGTTGCCTCCCGAGGGGGTTCCGTTTTTCCGGAGTCGCGCCCAAGGCTGGGTATGTCCCCGGCCCCTTTTGGGGTTTATTTCTTTGGCCCCCCCCCCCCCCCTCTCTCCCGGGGCGAGCGGCCGCCCCTGAGGCTGGCACCGCACGCCTCCGCAGGCGGATCTCTTCCTCGACACCCCGCTCTGCAACGGCCACACCACCGCCGCCGACGCGCTCTGGGCGGGGGTCCCGCTCCTGACCTGCCCCGGCAGACTCTGCGCACGCACCGCTCCTGGCCCGCCTCTTCGCGTCCACGCCCTCGCCGCCCTGCACACTCCTAGGCGACGCCATGTGCTCTCGCGTCGCCGCGTCGCTCTGCACCGCCGTCGGCTGCGGCCCGCAGATGATCGCCGACGGAGGGATCGGCGATTACGTCGAGCGGGCGGTCAGGCTCGGCACGCGCCGCGTCGAGCTGCTCGCTCTCCGCCGCAAGCTGTGGGCGCGCCGCCTCTCGGCGCCTCTCTTCGACACGCGCCTCTGGACGCGCACATGGGAGCACGCGTTGCGCGCTGTGTGGTTGCGGCATTGCGCAGGCGAGCCGCCGGCCAGCATGGACGTGCGACTGGGCGAGCTCGAGGCGGAAGCTTCCCACTCCCCGCCAGACGGCACGCCCCCGGGCGTTCGTCCCCCAGACCGCGTCCTCTCCGCTGGTAGGCAGCCGAGCTTCGCCGGGAGAATGCAGCGGACGCATTGGTGAGACGGGCGAGAGCATTGCAGGCGGGCGCGGTGCTTCCGGCCGGACTGCAGCCTCCAGCAGGGCTGCAGCCGCCTCGTGCGGACACACGTGTGGCTGCAGGCTGCTGTGCAGCTCCAAACGACGGAGTTACATAGTGTGTCGCGAAGGAACGTCGAACGAGTTGCGTGTGAGTAAATTACTGACTTTGCGGGTAAAACTAAAAGCCGTATATTTAACCCCATGTGCGCAATTGTGTGTCGCTCTGAGAAGCGTATATATGTACGTGTCGTGCTCTCTCACTCAGTCGTCTGCCGGCGGTCCTCTCCCCTCTCCTGCTGCATCGGAGAATCGGCGAACGACTTTCCGCTGGACATCCGTCTCGTGCTTCGCGTTCATGCCCTCGGCGTCAACGAGCGCGGCACGAAGCTGCTCGTTGGTCTTCTGCATCGTCTGCATCGCTTGCATGGCCTGCATTCGCTCTCGGTGCACCTCAACCGACTCGGCCAGAAGCGCCTGCGGGAGGAGTCGCCGTCTCTCAATGCGAGGCTGCGGCAGGGGCCACCCAGCGCACGGTGCCTGGTAGCGCCGCTCGCTGCTCTCTGCCGCCTCGTACTCGTGCTCCAGCTTTGCCCGCAGCGTCGCCCGGTCCGCCTCGAGCCGCTCGAGGAGCTTGCTCTTCTGCTTGAGCTGTGCACTCAGGTGGCCCGTCCCCTCCTCCACCGCCGCCGCGCACTCCCTCTGCGCCAACGCCGCCGCGCGGCATGCCTCTCTCCGCTGCGCCTCTGCCGCATCCAGCATCGACGCGCTCACGCTCTCCGCAATCTCAAAGAAGGGGAGCCGCGTCTCCCATGCACCCGAGGACTCCCTCAGCACGCCTGCCGCCCCGCACGCGGACCCGTCCACCTCATCCGAAAAGATGCAGCGCTCGGCGACGGCCGCTGCCCGCGCGAGCAGCGGCGCCACCGCAGGGTCGACTGCCCCAACAAGCTCGTCCAGGAGCCTCATGCAAGCGCGGGCAGCCTGCACCGACGGGCCGCAACCAGCCTCCCGCTCGGCGACAGCCAGCCCGTCGGCGACCGTGACGGCGAGCCGGACGGCATCGGACCGGAACGCGCCCCCTCGCGACGCCAGGTCGGTGGCATGCCTCGCCTCGTGCCTCGCCTCGTCGTTACTGCCGAGCGGAGAGTGGCGCGGAGAGGATCGAGGTGACAGCTGAGGCAGAGTGCTGGCAGAATGTGGCTGTTGTGGTGGGTGGGAAGAAGGCGGTGGCGGCGGAGGCGGCGTCGGAGGAAGGGATGGGAGCGGCGGTGTTGGTGCCAGTGGCGGTGGCGCCAGCGGCGCTGGAGCCGACGGCGCCAGAGTCGGCGCCGGCACCGACCGACTGTCTGCTCCCTCAATGCCCGTCGTCACTCTGCGTCCATCCGCTATTGCCGATGGCCATTTGGACCGAGGCCCTCTCGCAGTGTTGGCGTACTCTCCAATGAAACGGTGTGCCGCCTCTAATGGCGCTGCCGTTCGGGCAGCCTTCTCCGGAGCACCACTGACAGCTGCGAGGTCGGCCTCTTGCCGCAAAGGCGTGTGCCGGGAGAGCCGCTGGCGCTGCTGCTGCGCGACCTTGGCTCGAAAGCGCGGGCTCTTTAGGCCCTCGCCGGCAAACGCGCCGGACATGGTTTCGAGTACGTTACAAAGTTGTACGAAAAAGAGTTTAAACAAAAGAACTCTCTCATACGAATGCGCACCCCCCCTAGCTAGGGGTCAGGGCTCTCTAGCCCGTAGCCCGATCCCGATCATCCGGCCCGCTGGGTGCGCTTCTGAGCTCCCCGGCCCTGGATGTGAGGCTGCCGACTGCACTCCAAGTGCTCCAAATACGAAAAAGAGATGGAGCCCGAACGACAACTCAAACGAGGTGAAAGGAGGCGCAAGAGGAGGGAACCTTTGCCGACGAGCTGCCGATCGAGGTGGCTGCGGCGACCGCCCGGCTGCTCAAGCACCACGCGCGCTCCGGCGCGTGGATCGAGATCCTTCCCGGCAGCCCCAGCCAGGCCCCGCGCGAAGTCCCGCGCGCTGGCCGCGACCGCGACCGCGGCCCTCACTCGAGCCCGAACTGCCTATCAGACGTGCCGGAGCCGTCCGACTGTAGCGACTAGCACACCTCTGTCCCAGAAACCCGAGGAGTCACACAGTCCACGCCTGTGTGATGCACGCCCTGTGAGCGGGGCGGGGTGCGCACTGTGCCTCTGTGTTCGTGCGTCGCCCATCTCTCCTGGAGATGACTGCTCTATTTTTAGGGGAAAGGAGGAGGACAAGGTACCCAAACACAAGGCAATAAATAAATAAATAAAACGGGCAAACTCTGAGACGAGATGGGATTTAGGGACATGTGTCCCCGCCCTGCACGATCTTGGTGTGAGGGATCTTCAATCCGTGTCCCCTCACCCCTCGTCACAACCCGACACGGAAGAGCGGCAAGAGTTGGGGCTGCGGCTACGGCTGCGGCTATGAGAGGGGCCGGGGTCGCGGCAGAGCCGCTGCGCCGCGTGGACGCGCCTACACCGCTCTTGCTCCGCTCGCCACCTCTCGCAAAGGTCCAAAGCCATAGCCACCACCTCCTCCGGCAAGTCCTTTCGCCGTATCTCGCCGTCCCTCCACGCCTGGAAGATCTCGTCGTCATAGCCGTATTGCATCACAGCCTGCTGAACTGCGTCGTGTACGACCCCTGCCGTCCTATCCTGCGCCTCAGCGTCGGAAAAGTCGAACTCGGAGTCATACTCGGAAGCAGGCACAGACGGCCGCGGTGATTTGGCAGGCGGCGAGGAGGGGGAGGGGGAGCGCGGCGGTGCGCGCTCGTGGCTCCCGCTGGTGCCAGAAGGGCCAGCGCCCAGCGCGCTCAGCCTGTTCTTGTTCACCTTGGGAGAGGGGGGTGGGGGTCCACCTCCCTTGGGTGCGGGCTGGCGGTCAGGCTTGCGCTTGACCGCCTTGCCCGGCGGCTTGCGGCCAGGGTTCCTAATGGTGAACCTGTCCGGCATGCCGCCCTTCCCAACCCTGGTCCACCCCTCGGGCGACTCGTTGGGCTGGGGTTGCTGCATCTGTTGGTGCTGTGGGTGTGCCTGCGGTGCTGCGAAACACAAGGCAGCACACGACACCGCCCTCGGTTTTTTTTACTCCTACGACCAAACGCAACACTTCTTTGAGGATGAGGTTACCCACAGCGCGTCTCATCCAATGCTCGCGCAACACATCTCGATGGTACATCTGAGAGAGAGAGAGAGACGTACATCTGGCGCGCAACTACAAGCGACCCCTTGCCACCCACATGCAAAGGCAAGACCATCTCCACCGCTGCCTCGATTCGTCGCGTCCACTCCGACGCCACGGCACCACCACCTCGTACCCCCTCAGCTGGCGCCCGAGTCTCGAAAGCTGCGCATCACCTCCTGCTTGAGCCACGCGAGGCGAGAAAGCTCGCGATAGAAGCCGTCGAGCGCACCAATCTCGGCCGCGTCGCCGCGCCACAAAAAGAGAGGCTGCTCCTTGCGAAGGTTGTCCTGCAGCGCCTTGTTTATGATCTCGAGCAGCTTCGCGGGGACGGCGCGCAGCAGCCACTCGACGAGCCCACCCTCGGCGGAGCGGCACTGGATGGAGCCATCCCGGGCGAGCTGCAGATGGATGTCGGAGATGGACCAGTGAACCTCCTCCTCACGGAAGATGAGACTGTACGTCAGCCGCGTCAGCTCAACGTCCGCCTAGGGGAACATTGTGAGAAGGTGCAGGGAACGCTCCGAGCTGTCGACTGACGTGCCAGCTCGACGTCTGCCTCAATCCGCATCTCGCGACGCGTGCCGATCAGCGGGTTGAGCACCTGCAGAGCCTTCTTGCCTCGCACCGAGAGCCGCCGCGCCTCCGCCACCAGCTGGAAGAGCACCGGCCGTTGCAGGATAAACGAGAGCTTCCCAAAGAGTCCCTCTCGCCCCTCGGCGGCGGTCGGCTCCTCCCAGCGCGCCGAGATGACGTCGGGGAGAGAGCTGGTGGCCGCCACCCCGCTGCTGCTGCGATCGATGAGGTCGACGGCCAGTCCCTCGATCGCGACGCACAGCTCGGGCAGTAAGATGTTGAGCGAAGTCGTATCGCAGCCGTCGCCAAAGCGCGGCTCGAGGCAGCAGAACTTGTACTCGAGGTCGACCGCTTGCACCTCTTCCGGCGCCTTGGGGTGCCGCGCCGTCACCGTCGCGTGGAACCAGAGGGGCGGCAGCCCCTTCAGATCCTCCTCCGGCGGCTCAGGCCCCTCGCTTCGGGTGGCGCGGAGGCCGGCGAGCGTGGCTCGTGGCCCAACGTGGTGTGGGGCTCGCGGCCGCGGCGAAGGCGGCACGCAGCTCCACGAGGGAGGGTAGCGCATCACACGCACGGAAGTGCCTTCGATGCCCGCGTGCGCGCGGCGAGCGATGAGCTCGGCGCCCCTTCCCTCGTAGCTGTGGCCGGCGAGGTCGTAGAGCGCGGAGAGCGGCACCGCCTCCTGCACCAACAAGCCGCCTGCGTGCGGTCGCCGACGTGAGCCTCTCTCACTCGCCTCTCTCTCCAGCCTCGTTGAGTGCGGCTCGCCTGAGGAGGGCGGCTTGGGCGGCTTGGGGGCCCAAGGAGGGTGAGGCATCGCGAGACGAGGAAGTTTCCAGGCGCGCGGCAGCCGTGGCCCGCCCGGCCACAGGCACACGCCATCGCCGTCGTCTCCTCCTCCATCGCTGCTGCCACCGCTACCCGTCTCGCGGTGGCTGGGGCCCTCGTCCTCGCTGCCGCCCTCGCCCTCGGCGCGGCCGCTCTCGCTGCCGCCGGCTTCGCTCTCACGCTTGCGAGCGCCGCCGCCCTCGCTGCCGCCGGCTTCACTCCCGCACTTGCGAGCGCCGCTGCCCTCCCTGTTGTCCGATTCGCTCCCACGCTTGCGCAAGGACATCAGAAACATCTCCCCGGGCTCGTCGATCACCCAAGAGCCGTCAAACCCGAACGCAAAGGGGTCTCTAGCGTTGACCCGGCCGCCGCCCGTCCCGTGTCGCCCCACCGGCTTCGCCGCCGCGCGTAGCTGCGCCATGAAGCGCCGCTCGCGCCCGGCGAGCAGCGATAGCAACGGCGGCAGCGCCGTGCGCTCTGGGGCTCGTTCGCTCTTCGAGCAGCTCGAGTCGCTCTTCGTGCGGCGAGGGAGTGGGTCGGTGGAGACGCCGTCCGACCCCCTTTGCGAGCTACTGCTGGTGCGGCTGCTCTCGGGCGGCGCCTCGCCGGCGAGGTGGAGCATGTCTTCGAGGGTGGCGAGGCCGCCGAGGAGGCGGCGGCGGCCGCTCCACGAGAAGAGCACGCGCTGCGTCGCGTGCGAGGCCACCGCGCCGAGCACGCGGAGAACCTCTCGGATCTGCCGCTCGAGTGTGCCTCGCTTGCCGCGGTCGAAAACGGTCCGCACCAGCACGTCCGCGCCGTCGGCAAGGAAGGAGGCGAGGTCGTCGGGAAGCGCGGCGAGGACGGCCGCCCTGAGGCCCTGCAGCGGCGTCTCGAGGGCCAGCCGCGACTGCGAGGGCGAGAGCATCTCTCGGGTCGAGCGGGCGAGCGCGCGCAGGTTGCCGACGCTCAGGCCTCTCGCGCCGAGGGTCGAGGGGAGGCGGTCCAGCCCCGACAGGAAGAGGCTGCTCGCCCCGCGGGTGGGCGGCGGGCCCAGCTCCTTGCCCGAGGCAAAGTCGAAGGAGTCCGAAGTGGCGAAGGCCGTGGCGGCCGCGGACCCCCAGCCGAGGAGGCGCGCCGTGCTCGATCCGGGCTCCGGCGTCATCGGCGTAAGATTTGGCTGCAGCAGCGGCACGGAGCGCAGCTGCCGCGCGTCGGGCAGCGGCGGCCGCAGCCACCACGGCAGCTGTCGCTGCGCATCCGCCAGGCCGACTGTGCCTGCGAGCGCCTCGGGCTCGATGACGGCGGCGTTGAGCAGCCCTCGGTACCACGCCTGTGCGCGGCGGGGAGGGTGTGGAGGGTGTGTGGAGGGTGTGTGGAGGGGGTGTGGAGGGGGTGTGGAGGGCGGGAAGGGGCGAGGAGCAGCCCGCGGTGCCGCGCCTGCGCAACGAGGTGGTGGAGGTCTCCCGGAGCGGCCACCCTGCCGGCGGAGCGGAGGAGCACGGCGAGCTCGGAGGCGTCGCCGGGCAGCTGCTCGAGGGTCGTCACGCCGACGAGGGCGGCGGGCAGCGCGGCGAGCAGCACGCCCACCACGGGCGGCGACGGGCCGAAGAAGGCGCCCGGCGCGGCGGCGGCGGCACAGAGCGTGAGCCAATGCAGCGCGGCGACTATCTCGAGGCGGTGGAGCCAAAACGCGGATCTCAGCCTCACGCTGCGGTGGAGCCCTCGCGCTGCGGTGGAGCTCTCGGGCACGGCCAGCAGCGCGAGCAGCCGCGCCGTCTGCCCGCACTCGTTTGCGGCGAAGAGGAGGCACGGCAGCAGCAGCCTCCGCCAGCCGCACGCGGCCTCCACCTCTGCCGAGAGGGCGGCCCAGAAGAGGTAGGTGGGCGGGGTGACGCAGAGCCAGCGCAGCGAGCGCACAAACGACTTGAGCCAGCGCGGCGCGCCGAGGAGCCGGAGCAGCGACGTCGAGCGCCCCGCTCGCACGCGGTGGACGAGGACATGCTTGAAGTGTACAGCCCGGAGGGCGGCGGTCGTCGTGTTTGTGGGCTGCGCGCTTGCAGCCGCAGAGCGGCGGCTCGCCGCGCCGGTCGCAACGCTGATGGCCCGGGCGGTGCGCTCCTCCTGGTGGTGGGTGTAGTAGTGGCCAACCTGCAGGTCGATGGTCTTGCCCAACCGCCGCAGCATCGCAAAGAGCGCGAGCAGCCGCAACGTTGACGCCGCGCCCGCCGCGAGCGCCGCCTCGTCCGCCGCGTCCGCCTGCGGGCTCGCGACCACGGCGGGGAGAGAAGGGAGCAGCTCGAGCCGCCACCACCGCACGCCGGCCTCGAGGGTGAGTGGCAAGAGCAGCAGCAGGATCAGCACGAGGCTGCATGCGTAGCACAGCCGCACCGCGCCCCTCACCCTGCGGGCCGAGCTGCGCAGGGCGAGGAGGCCCTCCCGAACGCGGCTCGGTGCGCGAGCGGCGATCACCTCGATCAGCCGCGGCGCCAGCCCTGGGTGGAGGAAAAAGGGGAGCAACGTCTGGACGAGGAGGCCATGCAGCGCCCAGTCAAAGTCCTCAAATGCAGCCCTGGTGTCAAGGGCGGGCTCCCGGCACGACCCGCTGCCGGCGCCACCTGCACTGGCGCCGGCTCCGCAGCCGGGAAACCGGACGGTTGACTGCGCGATAGCCGAGCCGAGTAGCAGGCACGCGACCACCAAGCCGAGGAGAGCCGCGTGCACCTCGAGGAACGCCTTGATGCCAGCCGGCCAGTGCAACCACAGCCGCCGCAGCACGACGCGCCGCCATGCCGCGCGAACGACGAGCAGTAGGAGCTGCGTGACGAGCAGGAGCAGCGGGTGGCGCATCAGAGCGATCGTCATCAGAGTCGGATGAGCCCAGCCTTCCCGGATGTGAGCAAAGGCGTCGGCGAGAGACGTCGGCAGCCGATGCCCCTTGACGTCCGAGATCTCTCCGGCGTGGGAGAGGAGCATGGCGAGAGCCGCGCCAGCCACAGCGCCAGAGAGGAAGGTGGCGAGCATGCCAGCCGAAGCGTCCGTCCCTGAGCCGGAGCGCCAACACCGAGATGACGAATTACTCGAGTAAGTAAGGGAAAGAAAAGGGGCGGACAAGTTCTGTTGGGTGATCTGCTTGTTAGAGGCGGCGTGCCGTCCTCCCATCCCTCCGTCCGTTGGGATGTCTGTTTTCTTTCTTTTAGGCCTTGAGAGTGGCCTGCCATGTCACAGGAAGGACTGTGGTTGCACAGGAGAGTACCACCAACCATCACTTTATTTAGTTGGTATATAGTACCACACCTTCACCGCTCCAGTGGGATAGGGTAGGAAGCCGCCGCTGGATTATGAGAGTTCCAAGCGAACCAGTTTAGACCATGTTTAGACCCAGTTTAGACCACGGCTGAACACGAACCAGATTAGTCCTGTTTACGATAAACTGGGTCTAAACAGGGCTCGGCCTGGGTGGGGGACCCCATTAGCCATACCAGGTTTAGACCCGGTTAGGGCGCCCCTCTAGGGCAGCGCGGAGCCTCCGCGCCATGGGCGAAGAGGCAGACTGGCGTGGGCTTGAGGAGGAGGAGGGCACTCTCTCCCCGCCGGCAGCCGAGGACGATCAGCGCGAGAACCGAGATATGGGCACGTCTTTCTGAGCTCTCTGAGGACAAGTCTGAGGACGTGCCAGAAGACGCCGAGGCGGAGCGCGGCCGGCCCGACGGAGCCCCAGGCCGGGCCCAGAGCACGACAAGCGCCTGCCGGAGGGCGATCGGCTGTGCTGGGCGGCGAGCCCAGCGCGGGCAACGAGCCCGGGCCAGAGCCTGCGCCCGACTCCCAAGCCTGAGGATGGAGCCCAAGTCTGCCTCAAGGCGGGCGCCACCGTCACCGTCGTCTTTTCTGCAACAGTTCTGCAAAGGAAGAGGCGCGCTCACTGCAGACTACGGTCGGCGTTGTGGGCAAGCGCTCCGGCAGGACGCAGGTGTCAGATTAGCGGCTTCTGCAAGCAGATCTTCGACACGGCGAAGCTGTCGGAAGAGTCCCTCGACGCGGCCGCGTGGACCCTCGAGACGGTCAAGATTGCCATGCACAACCTCGACCAGCGCGAGAAGAAGCAAGGCTGCTGACGCTTGCGCGTGCCGCTGAGAGAGCACTTGGAGCACTTGGAGTGCAGTCATTAGCCTCACATCCAGGGCCGGGGAGCTAAGAAGCGCACCCAGCGGGCCGGATGAGCGGGATCGGGCTACGGGCTAGAGAGCCCTGACCCCTAGAGGGGGGGTGCGCGTTCGCAGGGAGAGGGCCGTAAAGTAAACACGGGTCTCCGAGGGTTAGTCCGCGCTCCAGGTTTCCCCTAGCAGCGGAGCGCCCCCTCTACTCGGAGCTAATAAACACCAGACACGCACACGACGTACATCCTCACTCGACGTCACCCCTCGAGGCTTCTCCGTTCGGCCTCCCCCCCTCGGTCCGGAGGGGCCCTCTTATCCCCTCGATCCTCCCCCCACTCGCTTTCCGCTGGTTGGGCAACGGATGCGGGGCCCGGCCCCCCCTTCTAGCCTTTTTCGGCCGCGGCCCCGCCGCCGTCTCGCCCTCTCTGCTTGATCCTGTTGTCTCCGTCTCCGGCGATCCCGCGCCCGACTCCCCGGGTGAGGGCGGCGGCATCATGTCTCGTTGTCTCGTCGCCACCCCTCTCCGGGAGGTCGGGCCGGCTCTCCCTGGTCAGCGAGTCGCGCCCGCACCCGTGGCCTCTCTATCGTTCTCGGCTCGCCCTCCCCTTCCTCCTGCTCCTCACTAAGCTCGGGAAGGCGCGGTCCCTCTTGTCGTAAATCACGGCGGTCCAGCCGACGCCGCGACGGGTCTACCCCCGGTGGGCTCGCACGGCCCGACTCCACTCGCAGAGGCCGAGTGAGAGAGCCGCATCTCTCTCGCTCGTCACAGAGCAGGGGAGCTGGGGGGAGGTGCGCGCTGGGGGGGGGGGAGGGGGGGGGGGGGAACCCCATTAGCCATACCAGGTTTAGACCTAGTTGATCGTAAACAGGACTAATCTGGTTCGTGTTCAGCAGTGGTCCTAAACTCGTCTGCGGCAGGATTTCTCCGAAATTCAGCGCGCTGGGTTCCGGCTCCTACCCAGATAGGGGGTCTGTTGGGACTGGCTGGCCCCTCCCAGATAGGTAGGTAGGTAGGTAGGTAGGTTGGTTGGTCTTGTTTGGCCCAAAAGGGCCCTGCAATAGGTAGGTACCCCCTATTTTCATCTTTTTTCGCTTCGCTGCGCGGCCTGGGGATAGGTAGGTAGGTAGGGCGTTTTGGCGCGAGTCAGTGGCAACAGACCCCCTCGTTTTGGCGCGAGTCAGTCGTACAGACCCCCTATCCGGGTAGGAGCCGGAAGCCTGACGTCTGAACGAGGCTGCCTTTGGCTCTTCAATATATATATATGAGACGCGCCGCCGCCGCCGCCGCCGCCGTCCCTGTGGCCGCTGCTGCCGCGCTCGCGGCCAACCTCAGCCACTCCACGTCGTACGACTCGCTCGTCGCCCGCACCAACGCCCGGCTGCCCGTGGCAGCCCCGCCGGCTGATCGCGACGCGGAGCTCTTGTCGGCGCGGCTTGCGTCGCCGGGCGTCGCCATCGTGCGCGGTGTCAGCGCTGCTGAGACGGCGCGGGACGCTATCGCGGCGCTGGACCCGGAGGGGCCTCTGAGGCTATACTTGCAGCGGGATGAGCCGCTCGGCGCTGCATTGGCACCGCCGGGCCGACTCGCGGCAGAGTTTGCTCGCCGCTTCCAGACGCCGGTGCCGCAGGTCTGCCTCTCTGGTCCCCGCCGCCTCGTCCTGTGCCTCTTCCAGCCGCACCTCGAGGAGGAGGCGACCCGCCGCTGGGTCTGCGAGGAGGCGCTGCCGCTCGGCGCGACAATCTGTGTGGTGGCGGACGGCACGCTCTTCGCGGCCGAGTTTTGCGAGGAGCTGCTGCGGAGCGGCGGCGAGGACCCTGGCCGCGTCACTCACCACTCGGTCTCGCTGCCGGCCAGTGACGCCGCCGCCGCCGCTCTGCTCGCCCGCTGCGGCGCTCCCGAGTGGTTGGCTTCCCTCGCCGCTTGGCTGCGAAGGCACACGGGGTGCCACCCGGCCGACCTCGCCTCCCTCATCGCGGCGCTTGACGGGGCCGGCGGCGGCGGCGGCGATGGCTGGAGAGGTGGCGAGGAGGCTGCCAGCGACGGTGACTGCGGCGGGGATCGAGAGGAGGAGGGCGAGGCGGCGGCTAGTGGCGCTGAGCCAGGCAGTCTCGGTGCGGCGCAGGAGGAGCGAGCGGCGGCGATCGCGCAGGAGGAGCGAGCGGCGGCGATCGAGGTCCTCGATGCCGCACGGCAAGGCCTCGTCGCCACGCGACTCGAGCGGCTCAAGGAGGTGCTCGCGATGGCCGAGGACGGCGAGGGCGGCGAGGGCGGCGAGGGCGGCGAGGGCGGCGGTGGCGGCGGCGGCGGCGGCGAGGCGGACTGGCTGTGGATGCTGCTCGGCGAGATGAGCGGCGTTGCCGTGGCGGCGCGGCGGGCGCCGCTGGGCGACCTCCTCCAGCAGCTCTCGGAGGAGGAGGTGGGGCAGCTCGACGGGGCTCTCAAGAAGCGGGTGCTGCACCTCGACTTTGTCCGCTCCGCCGCCGCCGATGCCGCCGACGCCGACCCCGCCGACGCGGATGGCGGCGTGCAGAGCGATGTCGTGGCGTCGCCTCTGACGGTCGCCGCCTTTGACGCCCTCCGCGCTGACCCAAGCCTCGCCAGTGCGGTGGAGAGGCGGCGGGCGCGGCGCGAGAGGGCGGAGGACCTGCGCTTCTACGCTGCCGACGCGGCGGAGCTCGACGCGGCGGTGGCGGACTACGCGTTGTGGGAGCAGCGCTGGGCCGTGGCGGTGCTGCGGGCATCCGAACCAGCAACGGAGGGGGATTCCGCCGCTCCCGAGCCGCTGCCGCCGCGCCGCTACTTTGGCCTGTTCGGCCCTCGAAAGCCGTGGCGCTCCCGCGGCGCCCCAAAGGCAGAGGGCGGGGAGAGGGATGATCGCGGGGACAGGACGGAGGGCGACGAGCGCGGCGAGGAGGGCGGGGCGGGTCGTGCGCAGCTGGTGGCGGCCGAGCGCGAGGCCTCGAGCGCTGCGGGCCGCGTCGCGGTGCTCGCGCTGGAGCGGACCAAGCGGCGTCGCACCCTCAGCATGCACTGCAGCGCGCTGCTGCGGCGAGCGGCGGCGCTGGGCGTCTCGCCTGGGCTGCCGGAGGGGCACCTGTGCTTTGAGCTCTCGGAGGCGTACTGAGCACTCCTAGGAGCACGGCCGTACTTAGCTTGGCGTGGTGCACATGCACATGCACATGCACGAGTAACACACATAGTTTTCAGAGAGTGATTGACGATGATCAGTTTAGTCTCAGTGAGAGGGAGGAGTAGTAGCTAGCAGGTGTGCGCGCGCGTCGCGTGCGAGAGAGGAGTACGTATATACGGGGTGTGGAGGGTGAGTTGACCAGGGGTTGTGCGCTGGGCCCTCCTGCTCGGCTCCAGCGAGTAGACAAGTGTTGTCATCAACAGAGTAGAAGGATCCGACCTCAGGGCCGATGTGGCCAAGCGCCGGTAGCGTGCTTTTACCTCACACCCACGGTCTCACAGTGTGCCGGCAGTCGCCAAGCAGTGTCGCTCACACAAGCCGCAGCGCAAGTGACTGAGGGCCAGTGAGGGCGATCCCATCGCTGTGACAGCTGTGGCAGCCGCACAGTGGGCTGTGCCAACTGTGCAGAGCGTGTGAGCAGCAGAGGAGCTGCTCTCCAAGCTTCAGGCGCAAAAAAATGCATGCCACCGAAGGCGCTGTCGAGGTTCGCCGAGCGTGGCGCAGGTTCAGGGACACCGTCACCGACGAGCGCGTTGGACTTTTCACTCCGGACAAAGACCGCTGCACAGCGGACGGTACGGGCCGTGCAGCGGTCATAGCGGCGAGGCGCGGGACCGTCTGTGGCGAAGTGCGTCGCGTCCTCCGATTTCCGTGAACTCAGCATCCACACCCTTTATCGTCTTGGCCCCGGCGTGTTGGGGCATGAAAATGAAAACGTCTCAGTAAACAGCCGTCAGCGCGTCCCCGCGCACCCTCGCACAACCCACCCACACAAGACACATCGCCCCGACGGTACGAAGGCGGCTCACTCCATGTCCGACGGCTCGTCGCCACCGGGGCTGGTGGGCGGCGCATCCTCATCCACGACGCCGCCGGTCAGGTCCTCGTCGCGGCCCTTCTTGCTCGTCTCTGAGGAGGAGCGCGCCCACGACATGTCCTGCTTGCGCACGAGCACCTCTGCCACGCCAGAGTCGTCGCGCGTGATTAGCACGTCCTCGTCGAGGTACCTGGCGCGCCAAGGGCAGGCCGTGGTGACGCCAGGGACACGAGGCGGTGGGTGCGGGGTGAGGGTGCGGTGGCGTGCGCACGTCACGAAGAGCGTGCGCGTCCTCGCGAGCGGGCCGGGCAGCAGCTGGCGCCGGCCGAGCACCTCGGCCTCGATGACCTCCTCCTTCAAGCGCGTGTCGCTCACCGGCGTCAGGTTGCTGAAGAACTTGAGCGGCTGCACGCCCGCCAGCGGCAGCGTCACGCTCACCTCGGTGGAGGCGCGGGGCTGCCCGGCGTCAGGCGACCGGATGGTGACGGAGATCTCGCCCAGCGTGATGCCGAGAGGCGCAGGCAGCTTGTTGAACAGCTGGAGCAGCGTGCCCGGCGCGTACGCTGTCGAGTACAGCGCGAGCGCCAGCTCCCGCGTCGGCGAGTCCACCAGGCCCTGGCCGAGCTGCCCGGGCAGCTGGATCGTCCAGACGCCGTTGAGGAGGTTGCTGCCCGCGGGCTGCGGCGTGGGCGAGGAGCGCTCGAGATCGAGGATGATCTCGTTCACCTGGGCCCGGGTCCTGTCGTCTAGCGCTGTGGTCGCCGCACCGGCCGTGAGCGAGAGCAGGTCGTCCTTGAGCGCCACCATCGCCGGCTGAGCGAGGCGCGGCGGGCCGCGACCGACGGCGGTGCGACAGTGCGAGGCCGTCGGCGCTGGTACGACGAGCGCGGCAGCAGCGAGCGTGAGAGTGGCCACCACCATTGAATCTGACTGCCAGGGACCACACGCCTCTTCCCGGCGAGCACTTGCCGGGAGAAAAGAAGAACGTCGCATATTTTTTCTTTTAGTTCTTACGCCAGGTGTATTCTTTTTTTGCTTGGCCGGCCCTGATGCCGGGGTAGGTAGGGTAGGTCTGGGCCCTCCCGTCGGGTTTTTCCCTCTCTTCAAGCTGGAATTTTCACGTAAACGCACAACCCCGGACCCGAAATCGCACAGAGTCACGCAACACGGGGTCCCAGGGAAGGCGAGCAAAAACCTTATCGCTGGAATTTTCACAGCAAAAAAAGAAAATTTCCGCGGAAATCACGATGTCAACCCTCCCCAAATGGGTGATCTGATGCTTGTAGGGCTTGAGAGTGGCCTGCCATGTCACAAGAAGGACTGTGGTTGCAGGATAGTACCACCAACCATCACTCTAGTTGGTGTAGTACCCCACCTTCACCCGTCGAGTGATTTCTTTTTGACCGCGCAAGATAAAAGGGTGGCTAAGGGCTCTGCCCGCAAGGCGCCCGCGTCGCAGACGCGGTACCATTGACAAATCTGCGATATACCCCCACACGAGCAAATAGCCAAAATCCGAATACCGTGCACAAACTGCGTGATGTCAGCCGTGCAAGCCTTCAGCTGGTGCCAACACGGATGGATTTGCCGACGGGCAAGCGTCTCATTGGCGCCCCCCCCCTAAGCAGCCCGTCGATGCAGGTGGCCCGCGCGGCCACGGCCGCAACGACGCGTCGCCGGCGGCGCTCACTCGAGCCCGAGCCCTCCGCGACGGCAACGCCAGGTCGTCGCGTCCGCCCCGCCAGCCCTTGAGCACGCCTCCCGCATACCGATGACTGCACTCGGCGTCCACCGGCGGGGGACCATGGAGGAGCGGTCAGCAGTCTCGACTGCTCCACCGGCTCCTCCACAGGCTCTCGCCGTCGGCCCCGGCGCGCTGCGACGGCGCGCCGCCGGCTCCCACCGCGGCGTCCGAGCTGGAGGGAAAGGTGACGCACCTGATGGAGCTGCTCAAGGCGCATCAGTCGCGGGACGCGGAGGCGTCGCGGCTGCAGCAAGCGCTGCAGTGCCAGGAGGAGGCGGACGCCGCCAAGCTCGTCGAGCTGATGCGACGGCAGGAGGCGGCGAGCGCGGCGGCGGTCGAGGAGGCCAAGGCTGCGATCGAGGCGCAGCTGGTCGAGCGATTCCGCGAGGAGCAGGCGGCGGCGGCGGAGGCGCACTCAGCGCAGCTGCAGCAGCTGAGCGCGGAGCACTCGACGCAGCTGCAGCAGGCAGCGGCCCTCCTGGAGGCGCAGGCGCGCGAGAAGTTTGAGACGGTCGCGCACGAGAGGGTGATTGGAGCAGGCGGTGCTCGCAGAGAGGCTGGTGAGCGGAACCTCTCCCCTCCCGCCTCCCCGCCCGCCTTCCCTCCCGCCTCCCGCCTCGACTCCCCTGCCTCACTCCTCCCGACCCATCCCTCACTCCTCACTCCGCCCGCCTCTCCTCTCCCCTCCCTCCTCCCCTCCTCCCCTCCCCCTCCCCTCTCCTCCTCCCCTCCCCCCCTCCCCATTCCCCCTTCCTCTCGCCTCGCGCCCAGCCCAGCCCCGCCACCTCACCGCCCTCCCAGGCGTATCTCTCCGCCCTCAAGCAGCTCGAGCTCGACGTCGACGTGCTCACACGCGTCCTGGCGCCTACTGTATACTTGATGCAGAGCTTTCCGACGTCATTGTGTTTGCCGCTCCGCGCTCGACGCCTGCCGCCGCGCGCGCCCGCGCGCCACCCCTTTTGCGCAGCAACACCTTAAATTTCATGGCCCTCCAAATTCGGGTCGGAGCGTAGCGGAGTGGGCCCCGAGTTTGAAAACGGCGACGGACGCTTGCGTCCTAGCCGCCAACAACGCCTCCCCGGCGCAGAGGGGCCCCCGGAGGGATGCTCAACCGCTCCACGCGCACGCCACGCCGCTTGCGGCGGTGGTCCTATTCCACGCTCGCGGGGGCCGCGTCTTATTAGTTTCCCATAAGTAAGGTAGGTAGGTAGGTAGGTAGGTAGGGGCACCGCAGGGGCCGGCCAGGGTTTTGCAGAATTTCAGCATCAGGGCCGGCCAAGCAAAAAAAGAATACACGTGCTTACGCAGCAAGATTGGGCGTCTTCTGCCGCAGTCCGGGCCACCTGGAACCCCACACACCAAGCAGCGAGGAGCGGCTGGTGCTGGGTGGCGAGCGAGCATCGCTTTGGCTAGCTCGGAGCCTCACGGCATGCTGCTCCTCGCCGTCAGCGGCCTCGTGCCTCCGCTCCGCTCGCTGCCGCTACTCTCGCGCCACGCATACTCCTCCTCGAGCGGCGCGGCCTTCCCAGAGTCGACCAGCGAGGATGGCACCGTCCACGTCCTCCACGGCCTCGTCTCGCCGGGAAGCCTCGCCGCGCTGCGCGAGGCAGCGCGCGAGGCCATGTTTGAGTTGGAAGGCGACACGGTGGACGGCTCTGCCACCTACCTCGCTCCGCTCATCGAGAGCGGCCGTGTCGTCGGCCGCGGCCCGCTCACGCGCCTCGCTCAGCCCGTGCTCGAGGAGAGGGTGCTTCCGTACGTGCGAGAGCGCACTGGCTGCGGCGGCGCGGTGGTCTGCGACGCGCTCGTGCGCCGCTACCTGCCCGGCGAGCGGCTCGGCCTCTCTGCGCACTTTGACGTCTCCGCCTTTGCGACCGCCGTGCTGCCGCTGTCGCCACCGGGTGAGTACGCCGGCGGCTTCTACGTGCAGTCAGAGGCGCACGCGTCGTCGCGCCGCTTCGTCCCGCTCGGCGAGGGCGACCTCTGCATGCACCAGTACGACGTCATGCACGGCGTCGACGTGCGCGGCGGCGAGTGGCTGCGCTCGCCCGCCGTCAGCCTCCGGGAGCCAACCTGAGCCTTGCCTGAGCCTGCCCGCAGGCGAGCGCTACTCGCTCGTCGTCTGGTTCTCCGAGTCGGAGGACGCGCGCGCCGCGGCCGCCTGCCCGTGGGTGGAGCGCGCCGCCGCCGCCGGCAGCGCGCCCGCGCAGTTCGTGCTGGGCGGCTTTCGCTACCGGGGCGAGTTTGGGGCGCGGCGGGACGCGGCGGCGGCGGCTCGCTCCTTCGAGCGCGCCGCCGCGCAGGGCCACCCGCACGCGCAGCTGTGGGCGGCGACACTGCGCGCCAACGGGGAGGGCGTAAGCGGCGGCGCGGACTACGGCGCGGCGCACACCTTTTGGGAGGCTGCGGCGGCGCAGGGCCTGGCGGGGGCGCAGTACTCGCTCGGCAGCGCCTACAAGCACGGGCACGGCGTGGCTGCCTGCGAGGCGACGGCGGCGAGGCACTACGCCGCCGCCGCCGCGCAGGGGCACGGGTGGGCGCTCGAGGAGATGGGGAAGAGGCGCGAGTGGGGGAGGAGCGCGCCCGCGATAAGTATTGAGTTGGTCATCCTCACTCTTTCGGTCCTCAGGTGCGAGATGGTGCGGAGTGCGCCCGAGCAGGCCGTCGCTCGGCTGGCGTGCGACGTCCTCTCGCGCGGAGGCCACATCGGCCCTCTCCGGTGCGGCGTCCGGCCGGACGGAGTGCGAGGTCTCTTTGTGGCGCAGGCTGTGCGTGCCGGCGAGGCCTCTGCCCCCGACGAGGCGTTGGAGGGGGGAGGGGCGAGCGGGTCGTGCTCCGCCGTAGGCACGCCGCTGCTCGGCGTGCCCGAGGAGTGCACGCTGTGGGCGAGCGCGGCGGGCGGCTCTTCCGCCGGCGGAGAGGACGGCGGCGGCGGCGGCGGCGAGGGGGTGGCGCGGCACGAGCGGCTGATGGCTGCGCTGCTCTCGGCGAGGGACGACGCTGCGCCGTACTTGGAGACCCTGCCGGCGCGCCTCGGGGCCTGAGTGGCTCCGACGCGGCGCGTCGACTCACTCCCCTCCGCTGTGCTCGCAGGCTTGCATCCCGTTGCTGCGCGACCGCACTGAGGAAGAGCTCGCCACGCTCTCCTCGCCCGCCCTCGCCTCCGCCGCGCGCTCGCAGCGCGCGTGGGCCGAGGCGACGGCGGAGCGGGTCGCACGGCGGGCGGGCGCGAGTGTCGAGGAGGCGGACTGGGCCGAGCGAGTCGTGCGGACGCGCGCGATCCGCGACTCCGCGCCGGACGGCTCCGCGGCGCTGCGGCTTGTGCCGCTCCTCGACCTTGCAAACCACCGGGGAGGGGCGGGCGGCGGGGCGGACCCGATCGTGCGCACGGGCGACGGAGTGGTCGCGCTGTGCGCCACCGAGGATTTGGTGGCGGGCGACGAGGTGACCTTCTGCTACCGCGTCGGCATCGGGGCGGACGAGCTGCTGCTCGACTACGGGTTCGGAGGGGAGGAGGAGGGGGCGGGGGAGGGGGCGGGGGCGGAGGCGGGGGCGGAGGCGGAGGCGGCCACGACTGGGGCCGAGGCGGGGGGCGGCGAAGGGGGCGGTGGCGGGGGTGCCGCCGAGGGGGTTGAAGCCGCGGAGAGGAGCGAGGAGGCGAGGAGCGAGGAGGAGCACGCGAGGGAGGTGGCTTCGGGCCGCGCGCGCTTCGGCCTCGGCGGCGAGAGAGGTGGCGGCGGCAGCGGGGACGGCGGCGAGGAGGACGGCGGTCGCTACAGCGGCGGCTTCCGCACCCACGATGCCGGCGTCGGCAACGCCGGTCCCGAGGAGGCGTCTCTGCGCGGCGGCCACCTGGTGCACGCGACAGAGGCGCCGCTGCTAAGCGCAGAGCAGTGCGCCTCGCTGGTGGAGGAGGCGGCGGCGGCGATGGCGGCGGGCTCGTCGTCGTCCTTCACGTACACGCGCAACGAGCGGCTCGGTGAGCGCGTCGCTTGCACGAGTGGGCCCAGCACTTCCCCTCGCGCACGCGCTCGTTTGTCTCAGCCGCCGAGGCGCCTCCGCCACAGGCGAGGTGCACGTGCACGACTTGCCGCAGGCGACGGAGCGGCTCCTAGGGCTAGGGCTAGGGTTAGAGCTTGGTGGGTGAATCCTAACGACCTGCCGCAGGCGAGGGAGTGGCTCCGCGCCGAGCTCCGCCGCTCGCTCTTCCCGCTCCTCGCAGAGCGCTTCGGCGCAGATGCCGCCGCCGCCGGCGGAGGCTTCCGCGCCGAGGCGCGCTTTGCGGCCGGCTCGCCTCCTTTGCGCTTCCCGGAACTCTCCTGGAGCCCTCCCGGAGCCGTCTCTAGGAGCTCGCGGTGTACGACGCGCTCGTGATCCGGTACGATGCCGCGAAGGGCGGGACGAGGCAGCCGATGCACCGCGACGCCGCCCTCCTCTCGGTCAACATCGCCCTCTCTTCGCCCGACGAGTACGAGGGCGGAGGCACTCTCTTTCAGACGGTCGGCGGAGGGCCCGTCCGGCTCGGCCGCGGGCACGCGATGGTGCATGCGAGCGGCGTGCGGCACGCGGGCGCGCCCATCACCGCGGGCGAGCGGTGGGTGCTCGTCGTCTTCGCCCTCGCCGAGGGTGTGCCGCAGCACGCGCGGCGATGCGCCGAGCGAGGCGCCGAGGCGCGCCGCGCGGGCCGGCTGGCCGAGGCGCGCGCAGCCTTCGACGCGGCGGTGGTCGCTTGCCCGACGGACCACGAGGCGAGGCACGGGCTGGCCATCGTGCAGCTCATGCAGGGGGAGGACGCCGAGGCGCGCCGCAGCCTCGCCACCGCCGCGTCGCTCTACCCGGCCTGCCCCAAGCCGCGCAACGGACTCGGCGTGACGCCGTCGCAGCGTCGAGGCGCCTTTCTGGGCGAGAGGGGTGTCCCGACTGGAGTCGCGGTGCGCGGAATAGGCTCGATGCTGCTCGAGGCGGGACGGACGCGCGCCGCGCTGAGGCACTTCGAGGCCGCCCTCGAGCGGAGCGCCGAGCCAGACGACGACGACGGGTGTGAGCGCCGCGGTGTCGTCGAGCTCCCTGGTAGAGGGCTGAGGGCGTCTCTTCCCCTCGCCGCAGGTGGGACGCGTCGGTCAACGCGGCGCTCTGCACGCTGACGCTCGCCCGGAGGGGCGGCGCCGAGGCGGCACGCTGGCGGCAGCGGCTGCCGAAGGCGCGCTTGCGGCTGTGGCGCGCGCTCGCGAGCACCCCTTCCGACCGGCGGCTGCACTCGCTGCTGCGCGAGGTGGACGGGCTGGCGCCTCTGGACTCCGAGGAGGGGTGGGCCGCCGTGCGGGCGGTGATGCGCGACGCGGCGGCCGCGCACCGGCGCCGAGCCGGCGCCGCGCTGGCGCGCTCCTGGACGCCGCCGCTGCTGCGGCCGGCGACGTGCGGCGGCACGCTCGTGATCGCCTTTGCGGGCGCCGACGCGAACTTGGGCGGCGGCATCCAGGGCGGCGTGCCGTCGCACGAGTTTGTGGCGTCGTGCCGGCGCGCGGGCGTGCAGCACGCCATCTTTGTGCGCGACGCGATGCGCGCGTGGTATGTGCGCGGGCTGGGCGGCCGCGGCGGGAGCACCTTCGACGGCGCGCTCGAGCTGCTGCGCGCCGAGGTCGCGGCGGTGCGGCCGGCGAGGCTCGTGACGATGGGCTCTTCGATGGGGGGCTACGCGGCGGCGCGCGCCGGCATCGCGTTGGGCGCGGACGCGGCGGTTGCCTTCTCTCCGCAGGTGCTGGTGAGCCCCGCGGCGAGGCGCGACATGTCGCTGCCCGCCGCCCCGTTCGACAGCTTGCTCGAGGGTGACGCGCCCCCCTCCGCCGGCCCCGATCCCGTCGCTCTGTTTGCCCCTCCAGCTCGCCTCCTCTGAACTCGCCTCCTCTTCCCTCGCTTTGCCGCGCTGAGAGGCGTCCCGCCCGCTCGCCCCCTCCTCCCTGCGCAGGCCTCGAGCTCGCTTGCGACGCCGAGGGGCTTCACGCCGCCTCCCTCGTCGAGGCGGTGCGCGAGGCGCCGGCGGGCGTGCGCACGCTGCTCGAGGTGCACGTGGGCGAGGACGCGCCCGGCGACGTCGCAGAGGCGGAGCTGCTGCTCGAGGCGGTGCGGGAGCGGGCGGGCGGGAGCGGCGAGGAGGATATCCGCTGCGAGATGACTCGCCACGCCGGCCGCGACCACAATTTGGTCACCGACATGCGCGACACGGGCGAACTGCACGAGCTGCTCTGCCGCGTGCTCGCTCCCCCCAGCACAGCCGCGTCGGAAGGCGATTCGGGGGAGGGGATTCCGCACGAGTTTGTCGGTTTTGCGGAGTGCTCTGACTTTTAGGGATTAGAAAGGCGGGCGGGGCGTGCGCGCGCGCGATTGAATTTCGTTACAAGCATGTCTATGTACAGTACACGAAAAAGGGGGAACCAATCAGCGCTCTCTGTCTGTGACACGTGTGCGAGCGGGGGGGGGGGGGATCGGAGGGGGGGACCGTCTCAGCTCCACACCCCACTGGGGTTACGTAGGTGCGAGGAAAGCTAGACAAATCTATCCACGTTCATGGCCACTCATGCGCCTCCCAAGTCCCAACCGCCAAGGGTCATGCCGATGAGGTTCCGAGTCTACTTGTTGGGCGTGCGCGACAGCGTCGCTGCCGCGCCGGCCGGCATCATCGACGCCAGGGCTGCCTGCGCCCGCTGGTGTGTCGCGTGAACCGCCTCAGCGCTCGCGCGCAAGGACGAGACCCATTCCTCGTGCGCGTCGAACTGGTCGGCGAGCAGCGTCGCGCACGCCGTGCCAGCCGCCGCGGCAACCTCGCCGTCGCCCGCCGCCCCCGCTGCGGGTGAGGCCGCCGGCGTGCCGGACCCGCGCGATCGCCGGTACTGCCGCAGGAGCTCGTCCGTCTCGACGCGCCTCTCGGCTCCCTGACTGCCCGGTGCAGACCGCCCAGCGCGCTCGCGCGCCGGGGAGTCGGCCGTGCCACGAGCGGGTGGCACCGCGGAGCCGATAGCGGGGGCGAGGGCCGCCTCGAGGGAGGAGGAGAGAGGCGGGAGGGGGGCGGGCTCGCCCAACGCGTGGCCAATGGCCGCGGAACCTCGCGCCACCACCGACGCGTGTTCGGCACGCTGTCGCTGCAGCGTCCGCAGCAGCGCCTGCGGGGCACCCGGCGGACGCGTCAGCAACATAGGACACGCCGCAAAAACGCGTCGAGTGCGGCGCGGCGCCTGGAGCCGCTCCGGCTCGCCCTCCTCCGGCTCGCCCTCCTCCGGCTCGCCCTCCTCCGGCTCGCCCTCCTCCGGCTCGGCAGCCGCCGGCTCGGCAGCCGCCGGATCGGCCGCCTCCGGATCGACCACGGCACGCCTCTTCTCCTCCTCTCCAATCCAACCCGCCGCCGGCGGCTTCGGCTCGCAAACCCAAGCTTCTGGCGGCGGCGGTGGCGGCTTCGGCCCCGCCGCAGCCCGGACGCCGCGCCCCCACCCCTCGGCAAGGGCCCGCTGCGCCTCGGCCGCCCGCTCGGCCGCTCGCTCGCTCTCCACCTCCTCAGCGCGGCGGATCCGCGCCAGCTCGGCGGCACGGACCGCCTCCGAAGCGGCGAGCTCCTCGCGCAACCGCCGCAGCTCAGCGCCCGCCGCCTCGCGGGCCGACGCCCCCACCCCCGCGGCCTCGCGCCGCGCGCGCCTCCCGCCCGCCGCCGGCTCTGCCCCCACCTCCAGCCCCGCCTCCTCAGCAGCCTCATGCTCAGCCTCGGCGGCGTGGCTTGCCGCTATCACGCCGCCGCAGCCTGCCTCTGCCCAATCGCGATGGCTCGGCGACAGTCGAGGCTCCTCCGCCGCGAGACGCTCGCGGAAGGGCCGAGGAGGCGCGTCCAAGCGGGCGTGCTGCTCCGCGGCTCGAGGCTCCGCCTCCCTCGCCCACGCCTCTCCCGCCTCCCTCGCCTCCCTCGCCTCCGCCTCCCTCGCCTCCGCCTCCCTCGCCTCCGCCTCCCTCGCCGCCTGCGCGTCGACCTCGCGCAGCGCAGCCTCGAGGCCACGCAGCCTCTGCGCGTGAGCGCGCGCCTCCTCCGCCTCCTCCTCTCGAGCTCGCTCCGCCAGCCTCTCCGACCGAGCCTAGAGGCGGCGCAGAGAGAGGACGCCCGTCAGCGCGTGTGGGCGCACGCAGCACGGCGCCTCTCTCCTCCGCCGCCGCACCAGCTCTGCTGCGGCCGCCTCGGCCGAGCCGTCGGGCCGGCGCAGCCGCCACCGCGCAACCTCGAGCGCCTCGCACGCGCGCTCCTCCTCCTCCTCCCGCTCCAGCCGCCTCGCCTCTGCGGCGGCGGCGGAGCGCACCGCCTCGTCGCCCGCCTCGGCGGCCCTCGCCGCGAGGTAGCGCCGCTGCAGTATCTCGGCCTCCTCCGCCTTGATGCGCTCCACCTGGGGGAGGAGATGGGAGGCGCTCGGCGGGGTAGGGCGGGCCGGGAGCGGCGAAGGCACGAGGCGCCTCTGCGCGGCCGTCGAGGACGACGGACGTGGCTTGCGGCACCATGTGTCGCGGGTAGGAGTGGCCCTGCGGGAGGGGCGAGAAGGGGGCCCAGCGCGGCAGGAGGTCGTCGGGCGTCGCGTCGAGCAGCGCGTAGGCCGCCTTGAGAGTAATAACCATCGTTATTACGAGTGAGTGCTTCTCATTCTCAAGCAGGTCGTGGGCCGTATGATATATGTATTATATACCTTCATCCAAGGCTCGACGCGCAGCACAGAGTCGACGAGCAGCGTCGCGCAGGCCTGCTGCGCGGAGCCGGCGGCGAGGAGGGCGGGCCCGTGCAGCTTGACGTACGCGACGAGGACGGGGAGCAGGAACACGGGCTCGTGGGCGAGCAGGTGGTCCCACACCGCCTAGTTGCTCAAACCCTCCTCCCGTCGCCTCGCGGGCCTCGCAACCGGGGCGGCGGCGAGCTCGCGCGGGCAGCCCTCCAGTCGGCGGGCGAGAGGGCGCGCGAGAAGAAGGACTGGAGCAGCGGCCACGCCCACGCGGCGGGGTCCGCACCGATCTGCTGGAGATGCACCTGCGCGAGGGTGCGGGAGGCTCGAGAGCGGGCTGCACCCGCCCCCGCCCGCGCGGCGTGCGTGGCCGCACCGCCACTGCCGGAGCGTGGTAGGCGAGGAGGGCCGAGACGGAGGCGAGCAGCTCGACGGGCGGGTGGGAGTGGCACTCGTAGAAGCGCTGCCCCCAGTTGGCGAGCACGGTGGCGGAGGCCTCGAAGGCGGAGAGCTCGTCCCCGTCGTAGGCGAGAGCCCACGGCAGCACGCTCCCCTCGAGCCCGGGCCCGCACGCGAGGAGCGGGCACCAGTGCGAGAGGCAAGAGAGAAGCCGCTCGAGCCGGCCGCCCCTGCGGACGGGGAGGCGGAGGGGGAGGTGGCTCGCACAGTCGGGGCCCTGCCGGGGTGGTGAGGCGGGTCGGGGCGACACGGCTGCGGCGGGAGAGGGCCGCACCGCCGGCTGCGCAGCGAGAGCCGGTCGTGCAGAGGCGCGTTGGCCGGGTGCTGCCCCCTGGCGGAGAGGCCCTTGTGCGCCGACACGTTGCCGGGCAGCTGGAGCAGGAACCGCCACACGAGCCTGCGGTGCTCGTCGGGGAAGCGGCCGGAGCGCTGCAGGATCGAGCGCAGCTTGCGCGCGTCGAGCAGCGCCGACTCCTCCGGCAGCAGACCGAGCCGCGAGAGGGGCAGCAGCTGCGCCAGGTTCGACCTGCCCTGCAGCAGCGGCGTGCGATGAAAGTCCGCCTCCGCCTCCGCCGCGCCGCCGCGATCCCGCCGCCCTCCGGCAAGCCGCCGCGAGCGCTGCGGCGCCGCCCGGCGCGGCACCGGCTCGCGCTGCCCTCGCTGCCGCCGCTCTGGTGCCCGCCGCTCTGGTGCCCGCCGCTCCCCGTCCCGCCGCTCCCCGTCCCGCCGTGACCCGTCGCGCTGAGCCCACTCGCGCTGAGCCCACTCCGGCTCACGACGCAACGCGCTGCCCACACCGCCGCCGCCCACGCCGCCGCCACCCGCGCCACCGCTCCCTCCCTCGAGCGAGTAGAGGGCGATCCGCCCGTCGGAGCAGACGGCGGCGATGGCGCGGCCGAGCGGGTCGGCAGCGACGCTGCGGAAGCCGCACCCGCCTCCGCGCCCCCCCCGCGGCCGCAGCGTGCCGACAACCTCGTCCGCGGACGGGACGACGAAGCGGAGCGCGCCGTCCGCGCACACGAGCGCCAGCCGCTCCTGCCTCGGCGCAGGGAGCCAGGCCGCCTGCGAGATGGCGGAGCCGCCCGGCACCTCGAGCAGCTTGAGCAGCAGGTGGGAGCGAAGCGACCACAGCGCGAGGAGGCCGCCTGCGCCCGCCCCGACGGCGTGCGAGCCGCTGCCGTCGACGGTGACCGAGCACAGCGGCACCGACGCGTGCGAGGGCGGCAGCTTGTACGTCGCCGTCTCGCCGAGGTCGGCCGAGCGCCAGACGACCACCGCGTGAGGGAGGCAGGTGAGGACGTGGCCTCCGCTCGGAGAGAGGGCGGCGCTCACGAAGGGCTCCGTCGGCGCCGCGCCCGGAGGCGAGCCCGCCGCCAGCGTGCCCACGCGGCGCAGCGCGCGGCTCTCCCACAGAGAGACGAGGTCGGCCGAGCAGGCGAGCAGTAGAGGCGCCGACGGGTGGCAGGCGAGCGTGTGGGCCGGCCCGCGGTGGCCGCGGAGGACGGCGCCCGGCGCCTGGTACTGCGCCTGCGACTCGGCGTCCCGAGACGTCTCGAGCCCCACCGCCGCCCGCTTGGCGGCGTCGAGCGCCTCGACGAGCCCGTCCTCGAGCGCCACAAAGAGTTCGTGCGAGAGGGTGGAGGAGAAGGCGAGGGCGACGCCGGCAGAGCCGCCTCGCTTGAGCACGGCGTAGCGGTTGTGCTCCAGGTCGAAGGAGATGACCTGCCCGTGCTCGTCGAGGGCGGCGACCGTGTCGCAGCGGCAGTTGAAGGCCACCTGTACGAACGCGTTGCCGCCGCGCCTCTGCTGCTGCAGCCCAAGGGTGAAGAGCAGGCCGTCTGTCGCAGAAGGCCGGCTCTTGGTCGTCCAGATCCGACCGGTTTGCAAGTTAGACGGGTTGATGAGCAGGTCGGACAGCTCCATCGCGGGCGTATCGGAGAGGCGAGCGCGCGGGCTGATCGGCGGGTGCGCCTGGAGGATGGAGGGGTGCCGCTCGCGCGTTTCTTTTCCCGCTGGCACGCGCAAGAGTGTCTTGTCTTGTGGTTCTCCATAGACACCTCACTAGACCCCACATACGGTCTCGTCCGTGCCTCGCCGGCCGGAGAGATTGCTAGAGGTGGAGCATGCTGCTCTAGCCTCACATGTCACTTCCTGTCGTCTGTTGTTTGTTGTGCCCTTGTTTGTTTCTCTTGGCACCTTGGAGTGCTGGGGGGGGGCGACAGGGAGGATGTGGCCTTGAGTTATGTGTACGCCAACTCAGGGTGTGTGGCAGCCAGCTGGCTGTGTGTCTTGTGAGCTTGTTTGTGTCTGTGTGTCGCTCGTGCGTGTCGTCATCATCTGTCTTGCGTCCACCCATACCGCGTTGGTGTCCAGTCCGAGCCTGGCTGTTCTTCACCTTTCTACCTACCTACCTACTGGTTCTGTGTGTCGCTCCTGTGCGACCGTCATCGCCCGTCTTGCGTCCACCCATACCGCGTTGGTGTCCCAGTCGTTGGTCGGACTGTGTTTCGCCTTCCATCAATCAATCAACGCGCCAGTCCGCACCTGTGTCGAGCCTGTCTGCTGTGAGAGAGAGTTGTTTTGTTTAAATTCTTTTCCCACTGTTGATGAGCAGGTCGGAAAGCCCAGCTGGGCTCCATCTGACACTCGCCCCAGCCCTCGCCGCCGCCGCCCTCGCCGCCGCCCTCGCCTAGGTGTCGCCGGCCGATAGCCGATAGGCCGTGGGTGGCTGCAGCTGCCTAACTCCTACAGCCGCCGCGTTTCTGTTTTCCCAGTGCGCGCCGTCCCGTGCCCAGTGTCGTGCGAGGGAGCTTTGATTTCTTGTAAAATTCTTTTCCCTTGTCGACCCACGCGCCACGGTCGTAGGGGGTGTAATGTGTAGGTTGTTGTTGGCAAATCAAGACACAGAGCTCACAAAATCACAGTGGGTGGTGAAAGCGAACGAGTCACTTAACTTGTTTTCCCAACAACATAGAGAACAAGCCTACAACAAGCCTACAACATACGTGCACTTAACAAACAGGCAGGGCTCAGGGGTCGATTGGGGCGGGCCACCCTGTCCAAGTGCGGAGGTGCCTTTCTGGCCAGGGGTGTCGAATGTTTACATGGCCAAATGATCATGAAGAAACAGGGAGGGTGAACTTGTGGGCGCTCGAAAGTTTGTTTTTGTTTCTGGCGTGCGCGCCCGTGCCCAGGGTTGGGGAGTTTTGTTGTAAATGCGTCTGCCGGCCAACGTTGTAACGCTTAATGGTGGTCCCGCGTGCGCCGGCGCTCGCCGTCTCTCTCCCCTCCTCGCGCCGCGACAGTCCGGTCCGCGGCCGGCGAGACTTGCCAGCGAGCCCCTCGGCCGACGTTGAGGCGACTCGCGCCGTGGTGCGCCGCCTTTTGCATGACCCTGCCGCGGCAGCTCAGCCAGCGGAGGCGACGCCTCTGGCCGTCGCGCGCCTCCTGGCGTTCGACTTCGGGTGGTCCACACACGGAGGCGCCGTCTTCGACCCATCGGTGAAGCTCTAGATGCGCGCGAGCAATGCACGTCGAAGAAGGCCTTGCTTGTTGGCGATAGATGAGGGTCGGACGCGCTGGCTTGCGCTTGCGGTCGAGACACTGAGCTCTCCCTCCTGACCCATTCCAGGCTCTCGACGCAACGCTGCGCCCTGTCGACCTCAACGCCATCCGAATCGACGGCGCCGCAGCGGGCGACGGCATCTCGGCCCTAGCCGAGCTGCTGAGCAGGTCGGGCGCAGGCGGTGAGGGGTGCGGAGCGTTCAGTGGCGACCGCGAATGGAGTCCCCTCTCATTATCTCGTGCATGCGCTGCCGACATGAACCGGCCTCTCGTTCGCGAGGAGGCGTTTCGAGCCGTGTACCGCTGGCTTGCCACCGAGCCCCTCACGCCTGGCTCCCTGGCTCTGCTCGCTCACCTGCTCGTCACGGCGCTGACCGACGCCTGGTCGGCGATCCGAAAGGCGGCGGCCGCCGCCGTGGGCCGCCTCCTCCCTCCTCTACTGTCGCCCCCGCAGTTGGTCCTCTTCCACGCCCACCTCCTCTCCCTCTCGGAAGAGCTGCTGCTGGAGGGAGGCCCTGCAGCAGGAGGACCGGACTTGGTGGACGCGACGCCAACAGTTGGCGGTCGTGTCGACGCGCTTCCTCGGCCGCTCTTGCGCCGTCACTCTGAACCGCCACCGCGCTCGACCCCGGCGGGCGCGAGCGGGCCGTCCTGGGGATCGACTGCTCCTCGGGTGCCGCCGCAGCAGCATGGGTCGCAGTGGAAAGCGCTCGAGGGGCTGATGCTCGGCATCACGGCAATGATCCGCGCGTCGAAGCCCGCCGACGCTCTCCTCGAGGCGGGTCGCTACGATGCGCTGCGGCCGACCTTGTACCGCCTGCTCGCGCACCCGCAAATTTCTGTGCGAGAGACGGCGCGCTCCGCTTTCCTCGCGGCCCTTGACGCGTCTGGTGCCTCCGATGGCGTCTTTGTCGAGGTGATGAACCGGCTGGCTAGCGGTGCCCCCTCGGACCCGGTGTCGCAGCGCCTGCCGTCCGCATCGCTTGACCGGCATGACGAGGCTTTCTTGCCGGCAGAGGCGCGCAGCAAGTGGGAAGATTGCAGCCGGACAGGCATCCCCGGGGAAGGTTTAGAGACGCTTTCGGTGGAGTCGCTCTCGCCTTCCTCGCCTCTGTCCCCGGCGGGCCGTTTCGAGCTCGAGGCCCTGGCACGCTCGCCCAACCCCGACGGCGACCCTTTTCTCAGCATCCGGCGGGCGTCCGACTCGGCCGCTTCGCTCGCCGCCACGCTCTACGCAGGGGGGCCTCCGTGGACGCGCCCGCCGTCGGCTGGGACTGTGGGGCACTTGTCCGCTTTCGAGGCGGAGGGTCTGCTCAGCCTGGCTGCGGCTGTGCTCCCCGGCTTGCCGCCCTGCTTTGTGCTTCGGAACTGGGGACGCGTCTGGCCCGTGCTAGAGGCCTACCTGTCCCACACGGCGTCGACAGTCCGCCAGGCCTGTTCAGCACTCTTCCGTGCGGCACTCGACGCGGCGCCGACGCGGCTCCACCCCATCCTCGTGCGACTGATGCTGCAGTCCATCTCCGCTGGCTGGCACGTCGACTCCACCTCTCTCTCCCGGCTCAACCCGACCACGCCATCGCCGTCGCCCGCCGGCCCCTCCCACAGCCCTTCCAACGGGGCCTCAAGCGGAGCCTCGCTCGGCGTGGCCGCCTGCTCGCCTGCCTCGTCTACCGCACCGCATACTGCTCGCTGGCCGCTAGCCGCCGCCTCAACGGCCGAGAGCGATGCGGCTTTGTGTCATCCGAAGCCGCGCCTCGAGGCCGTTAGCGAGAGGCAGCTGTCATGGCAGAGCCGCGAGGGGCGGCTTCTGGCGCTGGAGCTGGTCTACGACTTTGTGCGGGGGCAGCACGAGGCCGCGGCGGAGGAAGTGCCCGTCACGACCTCGCGCGAGGCGGGAGCGACGAGCCCTCTACGTGCCCGTCGCGCCTCTTTCGACACGGCAGCGACGCCCCGGTCCTTCCTCAGTCCAGCGCCGGCGCCGGCGGCCACGGTTGAAGCACCGCAATCGCTCCTGTACCTGCTCAGACAAGACCCACCACCCGCGATCCTTTGTGCCACCAACGCGTTTTCGTTGCCGACTCCGCCAGCGAGGTCGACGCTGGCCGCGCCGAGCGAGGTGCCGCTACCCTGCGCCGACAGCAGCGCGGATCGGTGGGTCTGGGAGTGCGATGGCACAAACGCGGAGCGCGAGGCGGAGGAGTGGGCGCGAGCGCTCAACTGGGTCCCGTTTGGCACGTGCTTGCAGCTCTCTCTGCTGCAGGTGACTCAGTGCTTTGCGGATCGCCGTTTCGAGGTGCGGCGCATGGCAGACCAGCTGCTACGGCCGCTCACAGAGGTGGCTCTCGCCGCCGACCTGCCGGTGCTACAGGGGCTGTGGGCCAGCTTTCTGCCGCTCGTCGACTCTTTGCCGTGCTGGGTCGGCGCCTCCACCCTCCTCCTGGCACTCAATCACGCACAGCATTCGGAGGACACTCGGCCATCGGACGTGCCACGGCCGACGGCGCCGCTGGCGCTTCCACAGCGGGTGCGCGCGCTCCTTCCCGAGCTGCTCGGTCCGGTGTCTGATGTGGTAGCCGCCGCGACGTCGGACAAGGTGGTGGTGGTTGGAATGCAGCTCCTCGCAAGGCTGCTGGGCACCTTTCGCTCAGACCTCGCACTTTCTCCGCAGCGCCGCGCCACTCACACGGCCCTCCTCTCTCGCGCGCTACTCGAGGTCTCGGCGCAGGCGCACCCCGACAGGAGCCTCGAGGGGCTGCTGCGGGACGAGGCTGGCGACCGCCAATCATCGGACACATCGCCATCGCAGCACCCACCTTCGCCCGTGGCTGCCTCCGGCCGCCGCGCGCTCCCCGCCCCGATTGTTTCCGGACGCGACACAGCCCACGCGCGGCTCATTGCGTCGTCGCTACTCACCGCCGTCCACGCGGAGCTCCCCGCGGTGTGCGAGGGGCTTGAGCGCACTGAGGGTTCCGAGATGCTCCTGTACGTGCTCTCCTCGCTCCGTCTCACCGTGCGCGACCCGCCGCTGCTGCTCCCACTTCTCGAAGCGGTCGACGTCTTGCTCACAAATGACGAGCGGTGCGCCGAGAGCGGCCAGTCGGTGCTCTGCGTGATGGTGTGGCTGCTCTCGTCGCCGCTGCTCTCGTCGTTTGCGCTGCGCCATCTACTCATCATTTGCCACCGGCTGCCACAGATGCATAGCTCAGCGACACTCTTGGAGCTGCTGCGCGCGATTGCCGCCTTGCTCTTGCGCGACTCGCAGGTTGACTGCGAGGCCGAGGTGAAGGGGCATGCCAATACCGCGGTGCCTTCGCCAGATTCGCTCCGAGCGCAGCTGCGAGATGCGATTGTGGGCGGCGCAAGCGATGGCATGGCCTCCGGGGCTGACTGGGGCGAGAAAGGGACATCCGGCTTGCCAGCTGCAGCGCAAGTGGGTTTCGAGGCGGTGGCGGAAGATGAAGCGGACGGTTGGGACGATTGGGATGAAGCGGAGGTGGAGGAGGAGCCGGCCGAGCCGGAGGTGGTGCAGCAGGAGGCGGGCGCGTTTCTGCGCTCTCTCTGCGCCGGCGGCGCGGCCACTGATACGCAGGGGAGATCCACGCTCAGCCAGCTACTCTTGGGCGTGCTGCCAAAGCTGTCCGGGTCGGAGACCGCAGCGCTGCTCGGCGCAGTCCGAGCGGCGCCGCCTGCACCGTGAGCTTGACGACAACCAGAGCGTGACCATGCACGTACAAGATACAGCATACGCGGTGTGCCCTGTCTACGCCGCCATACGTGACGTCTTTGCGTTTTATGTGTGACCGCCAAGTGCGCGTGAGAGTGTGCGAAACGAGCCGGCGCGGTCCCCCCTCTGGCTCCGCCGCGGGCGTTTTTTTTTGCCGCAAAGAGGGTGTTGCATCTTGTGCGAGATCTCTGTTCTCTCTCTTGTGTTATCGTGCGGTACGTGGAGGAAGAGACTTTGCAACTCGCAAGTGCCATGGGGCGTGGGCGGACCCCAGCTGCGAGCTGGCAGCTCCGTTTTGATTATTTCTCCAAGCACAAGCTTTCTATTAACATGTTTTGTTGTAAGATTCTCAACACACGCAAGGGATGCGCACGAAAGTTTACTGTTTAGCAAAAGTCTCCCAAATCGCACGTGCGGCGCGCGGTGTGGGCCTGGGGGGGCGTGGCTCGTGGCCTCCCCCTACACAGCGACTCCTCGTCGCTGCGGTGATAAAAAGGCAAGACTCGGCCGCCGAGAAGTCGCGGCCCGACCTACCCGCGCGCCGCGCGCAGCTCGTCCCGCACCGCCATCAGCGCCTTGCCGAGCCGGTTCTCGCCCGTCGAGATGCCGTCGCCCGCCTGGGGGCGCGGAGAGGGCGTGGATCCTCTCGCCCCGCCTCTCCCCCTCCCCCCCCCCCTCCCGCCCCGCGCCTGGATGCCGAGCCACGGGTTGAGGTCGACGCACGCGAGCAGCTTGTCTCCCGTCGCAAGGAGGTGCGCCGCCAGGCCCGAGCCCTCGGCCGCCTCGGAGGCGTACTGCGCACGCACCGCCGACAGCACCGCTGCGGCGCGCTGCTCGGAGGAGGGGAGGTCGGCGACGGCGTCGGCGGTGATGGCCGCCTCGAGGGTGGGGTACCTCTTCCCGTCGAGCTCGAAGGGGGCGAGCGTGCAGCGCATCGAGAGCGAGAGCGCCTCCGACGAGAGGGCGTTGTAGAAGGCGTGCACGCCTACCGCCTCGTGCTGAGTCTGGGGAACGAGCCCTTGCCAGGAGAGCGCGCGGTGGGGAGTGGTTGTTCGCCCTCCGACTCGAGGTCGACGTGGCCGTCGGGGAGCTCGTCGCCCTCGCCCAGCACGAGCTCGACCTGCGGGCACCTCGCCATATCTCCCCATATCTCCCCATATCTCCTGGCACGAGCTCGACCTGCGGGCACCTCGCCAGGTCGCCTCGCCAGGTCGCCTCAAGTGGAGAGGAGGAGAGGGGAAGCGGAGGAGATGGGCGAAGACAGGAGGAGAGGGAGGAGAGAGAGCGAGGAGATGGAGGAGAGCCGAGGAGGAGAGGAGGCGCAGAGGAGGAGGAGCAGGAGGAGAGCGGCGCGAGGAGAGACTCCCGCAGCCTCACCTGCTCGCACTCGTACGTGAAGTCGTCGTCGTGCTCCACCTCGGTGCAGTGCGCCTGGAAGGCGGCGTTGTCGGCGACGATCGCGCCGCACCCGCCGCACTTGATCCTCTTCACGCGCCGCTCCAGCTTCCTCCGCTCCGCCTCGGCGTTGTGCGCCCTCGCAATCTCAATCGCGCTCGCCGCGAGGCGAACGCCGGCGTCGAGCGGGAGGCGGCGCAGCGGGCTCGCGCCGGCGTCGCTAGCAGCGGGCTGTCCCACCAGCGGGTCGTAGTGCTGCCCCGTGTAGAGCACGAACACGCTCGCCGTCGGCGCGTCGGCCGAGTATGTCGAGCAGCGGAGTGTTTCGCACGACGCGAGCACGATCTGGACATTGTAGTGCTGCGCGAGCATCAGGATCTCGGGCTCGCCGCCCCAGTGCGTCTCCACGCGGATCCACGCGCCGTAGTCGGCCACGCTGTCGTGGCCGAGCAGCAGGGCTCGCGTGTCGGGGTCCGGGTCGGCGCTGACGCTGTCGGCGCAGGCGGCGCGCAGGCGGCGCGCGGCCGCGCGCAGGTCGAGCTCGGAGGTGAGGTCCTCGCACAGGTACGCGGCCGTCGAGAAGAGGCAGTTGTTGTCAGGCGCGACTCGGACACGGGCGAGGGCGGCGGAAGTGCAAGTGTCCTGATGGTCGGTCATGTGTGGTGTGCGCGTGAGAAAACTTGGGGCGCTCCTCTTCCTCTGCTTCCTCTGCTATCTGCTGCGCCAGCACTGCCTCCCACTCAGGGTCAGCAGCAGAGCCAGCATCGCTTTGAGCAGAGCAGCGCATTGCCACGTCCTCGTCGCAGAGCTCCACCGCGGCGAGACGTGGTGACAATGCTCAATGGACTGAGTTGACAAGGTAAGGGGAATGATCAGAATGGCAAGGCTGGGTAGTCTCCCCCCATCCCCAGGGCCTCCAGGGCTCGCAGCTCAACCTCTCATAGACCATAGGACGTATTTTCTTCTAAAGAACAAGGTGTGTGAAAAAGAAAAACTTCGCGTAATTGCTCGCTTCCCAGATCCTCTCTCGGTCGCCATGCTCGCCTCTGCCCTCTCGCTCAGCAGCTCGCTCGTGACGCCCGCCCCGGGGCGCGTCGCGCCGATGCAGCGGTCCGCCGACGTCAGCATGGCCGCGAAGGACTCGGTCACCGCCGGTCAGGTCGCTGGCATGGCTGCTGCGGTGCTTGCGGTCGGGGTGCAGTCGGCGTCGGCCGGCCCCTTCACGCGCACAGACATTGCGTCGCTGACGTACCAGCAGATCAAGGGCACGGGGCTGGCCAACACCTGCCCGGTGGTCGAGCAGGTCGACGGCATGAAGACCGAGATTAAGGTCGGCGGCAACTACAAGATTGACGAGTTCTGCCTCGAGCCGACCTCCTTCCAGGCGCGCCCTCCTGCACAGCCTTCACACGACGCGCGTCGAGCGTCCACGCCTGATGGGGCAGCATCTCCGCGGCGGCGCACTCCGCGCTGCACCCGGTCGCCGGCCTCTTTCCCCTCGCCCCCCTCCCCTCCTCTCCGCCCCCGCGCCGCCTCGCGACAGCGCCGCTGCTGCCGACGGCTGCAGGTTCTGGAGGAGAAGCTGACGAAGTCGGGCGTGGTGACCGAGGCGGTCGACACCAAGGTGACGACGCGCCAGACCTACGTCCTCACCGGCATGGAGGGCGACCTCGTCCAGAAGGACGGCAAGCTCACCTTCCTCGAGAAGGCAGCCGCTGCACCGCCGCCGCTGCACCGGGCCCCGCCCGGCTCCTTACCCTGTCGCCGCAAGCTGCCCTGCCCCCAGGGAAGGGCGGGCCTCCCCTCCTCTCCCGGAAGGCACCCGGGACCCCCTCCTCCCCCCCCCCCCCCCCCTTCAGGACGGCATTGACTACGCCCCGACCACCGTCCAGCTGCCCGGCGGCGAGCGCGTGCCCTTCCTCTTCACCGTGAAGAACCTCGTCGCGCAGTCGGTGGCCCACCCGCCCACCGCACTCTTCCCTGCGCCAGCCTCTCCAGCTCCCTCTCGCACCCTCGCCGGTCCTGCCTCCCTCCCCACCCCCCCACCCCCCACCCCCCACCCTGCAGCTACCCCTCGCCGCGCCTGCCTCCCTCGCTCCCCCCACCCGCCCCTCACCCCGCCGCCCCTCACCCCGCCGCCCCTGCCCCGCCCCAGGACGGTGCCACCTCCTCCATCAGCCCGGGCCTCAAAATGTCGGGCGGCTTCAACGTGCCCTCCTACCGCACCGGCCTCTTCCTCGACCCGAAGGGCCGCGGCACCACCACTGGCTACGACCAGGCCGTCGCGCTGCCCGCGCTGCAGGCCGGCGGCGACGAGTCGCTCTTCAAGGAGAACAACAAGAAGTTCGACGTCGGCCGCGGCTCGATTGAGCTCAAGGTCACCTCGGTCAACGCGGAGCTGGGCGAGTTTGGCGGCGTCTTTGTGCAGAAGCAGCCCTCCGACACCGACCTCGGCTCCAAGGTGCCCAAGGAGCTGCTGCTCAAGGGCCAGTTCTTTGGCACCGTCGTGCCCAACTAGAGCCCGTCATTTCCCCGACCCGATGTGATGGCTGTGGCAAGCCCGCGTGCAGCAGGGCCGGCTCCAGCGGGTCGCTCCTCGACTTTTGGGATGGCGCGGATATGTGTGCACACAGAGAGAGGTGTGGTCCGCTTGGCGAGTAGCGTCACCAGATAAAAACAGATACACGCGAGACAGACACGGCGGACCTCTTGCTAGCCAGTAGCCTTGTCGGAGCTCGCGACCACGCCGGCGACCGGAATGTGCGAGTTGCGACGGCCCCCGCGCCGGCGGCACACCCGCGCGCACGCCCCGCTCTCGGCCGGCTCTCCGCATTCCGGCAAGTGCTCTCGCTCGATGCGATTGGCTCGGTCGCCGCAGCGCACAGCCGCACACGCGGGCTCAGTCCACGCAGCGCACAGCACAGGCGCACGGCCAACCGCCCGGCACGAGAGACCAGAGCGCCGGCTGCCGCCTCAGAAGGGCTTCGCGTCGAGGAAGGAGGAGATGAAGGCGAGCGACGCCGCCGGCTGGTAGGTAGGCACCATGTGGCCTGCCAGCCGGATGGTGAGGAAGGAGAAGTCGTGCTTGCCCTCGGAGGGGGTGTACGCCGTCACGTAGCCGGCGGGCGCGCGGCGCTTGCCGGGCAGGTACCAGGGGCGCCACGCCTTCGCCTCGGTGAGGACGCCTCGCTTCTCGAGCATGCCGATCCACTCCTCGTTGCCCTTGTACGGCACGCACGCGTCCGCGTCGCCGTTGTAGATGAGCACGCGCAGCTTGGCGGAGAGGGAGGGCCACAGCGTGATCGAGGCGGGGCCGGAGAGGGAGTAGTGGAAGCTCGACTTGTGCGGAGCGTCGAGGTGGAGCGCCTTTCGCACGTCCGGGCGAGTGATCCACTCCTCCGTCGCAGCCATCCCCCCGCACCGCCACGTGAAGCCTCCCTCCGCCGAGCTCGAGCGCGGCGCGAGGTCGGCGCGCAGCCGCTGGCGCGCCCAGCGCATCGACTTGTTGTGCGCGGCGAGCCGCTCCTCCATCTCGTCGCAGTTGTCATAGATGTTGTAGACATTGTGCGGCCCGACCTCGGCGGAGACCCGCTCGAGGAGGACGTCGCACGCGGCGCCCGGCTCGTCGAACTGCCCGTCGCAGGCGGCCTGCACCTGCTCGTACAGCTTCTTCGAGACGAGGCCCTTTCCAAAGTACATCTCGACGTCGTTCCGCTCCTCGTTGGGCCCGTTGCAGGCCACGCTCGTCTCGTCGCCGCCCCAGCACGCGTTGCCCGCCGCGATGCCCTTGAGGGGGAGCGTCGAGTTGAAGGGCGCGTGCGAGAGAATGTAGCTCGCGATGTTTGGGCCTGCACCGCGGAGGACGCAGGTCAGAGGATGCTGTCGCCTCGCCCTGCTTGCTTCGGCTAAGCCTCGCCGTACTGGCCAAAGTACGACTCTCCAGTCAGGTAGAGCGGGTTGGTGGCGAACTCGGGGAAGGCGCGCGAGAACTCGACCAGGCTGTGCGCATACGCCTCGGCCTGCGAGACGTCATCCCACTTGCACCCCACAGGCTTGCCCGCCTTGACACACGTTGAGAAGCCCGCGCTGTTGCCACTGCCGGCGGGTGACTCGAGGTAGAGCATGTTGGCGACCTTGTTCCACGCAAACTCGTTTGCAGAAGGGCCGTCGGAGGAGAGCGAAAAGTAGCCCATCTCGGTGAAGAGGCCGACGTCGATGCTGGAGCCGCCCGGTCCGCCCTGGTGCCAAGTGACCACGGCGTCGTTCTGCGGGTCCCGTTGCGACGTGTGGAACTGATAGTGGATGCGCAGCTCATCGTAATCGTTCAGCGTGAAGGGACCCTTGACTGCGAGATAGCCGCTGTAGAGCTTGAACGGCCAGCTGTCGAAGCCTGGCAGACTCGTGACGAGGTCAGCCTGGGGAGCCGATAGCGGGGCGAGGAGAGCAGAGATCATGCTTGGCGTGGTTGAGCCGGCTGGGACTGGACAGGAAGACCCGAGTGACTGGACAGCGTCGCTTTGATCGACTCTTCCGATCGACTCTTCCGGCGTGTGCGAGGACGGTTATTTCTTTTCCAGCAACTTGCTCCGGTGGTGTGCCGGTGATAGTACTAGCACGCGCCAGTTCGCACCTGTGTCGAGCCTGTGTGCTGTGAGAGAGAGTTGTCTTGTTTAAATTCTTTTCCAGCAACTTGGCCCCGACCCGAGTCCATTCGCGGAAAATGAACGTCGAAAGAACTGACACCACGACCCGCGAGCCGCGTGCCGCCCGGTCGTGTGTCTCGCACCTCGGTCGGGACCCGTGTCGCGTGTCGAGTGTCGTGCGTGTCGGCCGGGCGGGCGATTCCGACACGCCGGCTAAGCCCGCGCCACGCAAGCCCATGCGCAAGCCGCAAGTGGTGCTTTTCGAGCCTCAAGCTGAGGGAGGGTGTAGAGGATGTAGAGTGTAGAGCGCTGTAGAGCTGTAGAGATGTAGAGCGCTGTAGAGCTGTAGAGCTCTACATCCGCCGCGTGACGAGGCGCCTGCGTTGTAGAGCGATGTAGAGGCGCTCTACAACGTGAAATCTCTACAACAAACTCTACATCATAAGCGGCGAACGAGGCACGGTCGCTCTCCGACATGAGGCGCGTTGCACTTGCCAGTGCTGCCCTGGCCTTCTGTCTGCCCGCCCAATGGGTGGCAGATGCCTCTGCTGCTGTGGCATGCCTCACGGCTGCGACTGGCCGGCGCCTCGGCGCGTCAGCTCGGCTCGGCGTAGCGATAGTGGCCAGCGCAACTCGCCTGGACTCAACGCTCAGCCAGGAGCTCCCGCACGCGCTGGCGCGAGTCATGGCGCAGATAAGGCGTCTGAATGCTCGCCTCGCCTCGCGCAAATGCGACCGTCCTCGCAGCCGACAGTCCACCGCCTGCTAAAGAAGCACAGCGACGAATGCGGCACCGGCGACACATGGCAGGCTGGTCATGACGCAGTTATAGGGTGTTGTGTGCCGTCAGAGGGACTCTCTGTGTGTCAGGGATAGTCAGGGCCGTCCATCAGAGCTCCACTAAGCTCGGAGACACCCCATTAGCGCGGCTCGACCTCTTTGAGTCACTGCCTTCCCGGCGGTTTGGCTGTAGAGCCTCTACAACAAACTCTACAACAAAATCGCGCTCTACATCGCTCTACAACGCAGGCGCCTCGTCACGCGGCGGATGTAGAGCTCTACAGCTCTACAGCGCTCCAGAGCGCTCTGCATCTCTACAGCTCTACAGCGCTCTACACTCTACATCCTCTACACCCTCCCTCAGGCCTCAAGGGGGGTCCGAGTTAACAATAACATGAGTCCGATCCGGATAACGCATAAGCCCCCCAGACAGCAGACTCGAGGCCCCAGACGCAGTGACACACACAGCCGCCGATTAGGCCGCCGCTACCTCTTCAGCTCCACCGCCTCGGCGCCTGTTGCGGGGTCGTCAAACACGCTCACGCGGTGCCGCAAGCCTTTGAGGCTCCTCCGGTAGGCCTTGCGCAGATCCTCCTTGTCGGACGAGCCGAGCGCGGCGGCCGCCCCGCTGACCGCCGCCTTGCGGAGCCGCTTGGCGTCCAGTTTCCCGCCGGGCGCCGCCTCCAGCCTCCGGAGAATGTCTGCCTGCCAGTCAAACCCGCCCGTGCTGCCCGTCGCCGCCTTCGCCCCGGCCGCCTTCTCCGCCGCCGCCTTCTCCGCCGCCGCCTCGCTCTTCTTCTCGCGCTTCCTGCTCTTCTTCTCCTGCTTTGAGGCGCCCGCCGCCGCCGCATCTCCCTTGCGCTTCTTGGCGCCCGTCTCTCCCGGGGCGCCCATGCCCGCCGCCTCGTCCGCCGCCGCCCGCTGCGCCTCCTTGAGCGTGCCGCCCACCGTCTCGCCCTTGACAAACATCGAGTACAGCCCGCCCGCGACGGTGTTCTTGGCCTTCATCTCAAAGGCCACCGGCCGCGCCCACGGGTCCCAGTGGCCAGCGGCCACCGCGCCGGCGCTCGTCGACTGGAACTCGCGCTTGTTCTCTGCCCCACCGCGCGCCCTCTTTGCCGCCTTCTCCGCCTTTCGCGCCGCCTTTGCCTCGGCGGCGTTGAAGCCAAGGCCGCCTGCCGAGCCGCGTAAGCTCGAAGCATCCTCCAGGCTCTTGTGGAGCTTCGTGAGCTTCTCCGCCTGCATCACCAGCAGCAACTCGTAGCCTCAGATAAGAAAGAAAAAAACGCGCGAGGGCTAGTGTGGTGGCGGCGTGCCGTCCTCCCATCCCTGCCTTCTTTTCGTTTTTTTTCTTGGTGAGCCGGTGGGTGTGCCAGTCCGCGCCAGTCCGCGCCCTTGTCGTGCCAGTGAGCAGTGTGCTGTGACTTGTATTTTAAGAATTCTTTCTTTCTTTGGGCGTGCGGCTACCAACCTGCACTCCAAGTTCCTCTGAGCTCTGTGTCCCTGAGTTATTGCAATACAAGATCCTGCTCGTGCTACGTGCAGGTGGTGGGGACCCGGTCCTTCTCCCACCCCTCGAGCCCTCGTTGCGGGCGCGTTCGAGCGCGTCGATTTATTCGTTGTTAATGACTGCACTCCAAGTGCTCCAAGTTATTTCGTTCGCGTTTTCTCCGAGTTGCGAGTTGCACCGCCGGTTTTCGGGTTTTGGGCGTGTGGTGGCAGTGGTGCCACGAGCCACGACCCACAGAGCACAGCCTCCTGCGCCTCCTGGTTTTCGGTTTTATTTCTTGCAGTTTCACGACACTCTTAACAACCAGCGCTACTCTTCCCATTCCCTCACCAGCGTCGTCCGCCACATTTCTCGCGTAAACCGTTGCCACTCGAAGCCCGTTGCGCAGTGCATCGTGCATCGGTTGTCCCACACGACAAAATCTCCCGGCTCCCACTGCCACTGGACCACAAACTCGTCGCGCGTCGCAAAGGGCAGCAGCGCACGAAGCTCCGCCTCGACCGACGGCATCTCGACCGCCTCGAGCTCGCACCGGTCCATCTCCGCTCGCGAAAGCTCGGCCCCGCCGGGCAGCACCGCGCAAGTCCCCGCGTTCATGCCGGACAGCGCCTCCCTGCCCGTCTGCGGGTGCCGCAGCACGAGAGGCACTCTCTGAGCCGGGTTGGCCCTCCGCTGGGCCTCGGAGAGAGTCGGGTAGTCTGGCGAGCCCCGCTTCTTCACCTTTGCGTCGTGGTGCGCCATCGAGCAGACGCAGGTCAGGCCCCGCAGCCGCTCCTTGGTCACCTCGTCCAGGCTCGCGAAGGCGGTCGTCGCGTCCGCAAAGCACGTGGCGCCGCCCGAGGGCGGGGCCGTCACGCAGTACAGCGCCGAGCCGACGGGAGGCCGCCGGCGGTACAGCGAGTCCGTGTGCCACGCTGGCTGCCGCTCGGCGGCTCGGTACTGAGCAGAGCCGCCCGGCGGCAGCGGCGCGGAGATGGTGTGCATCGAGATTAGGCGGCCCGTCTCGTCGCGCACATTGCCGATGCGCATGACCGACGAGAGACCGCCCACCCGGAAGTCAATCTTGCTATCATCCAGCTCCTGCTCCACCTCCCCGAAGAGCGCAGACAGCTCGAGCATGCCGCGAGGCGTCAGCGAGAGGCCGCGAAGCACGAGCAGGCCGCCGTTCTGCCGCCACAGGCGCCGCAGCAGCGCGCCATTGCGGATCAGGGATGGGAGCGATGCTTCCACGCAGGCGCCAAACGGCCGCAGCGGCCGGTGGTGCAGCGGCAGGAGGCCTCGCTGCCTTTGCAGTAGGAGGAGCGCGGTCGCGGCGACAGCGACGGCAACGAGAGCGGTGGAGGAGTGCATGTAGGTGCGTGTGGCGGGCGGGCTGGGCTGTGTGCTCTGGGCTGTGTCACGAAGCCGCCGGCGAGAGCGAAGCCGCCGGCGAGAAACGAGGGTGCGTGGTTTCTTTTTTCCGCTCTGTCTTCTCTCTCTCTCTCTCTCTCTCTCTCTCTCTCTCTCTCTCTCTCTCTCTCTCTCTCTCCCTCTCTCTCTCTCTCCCCCCCCCCCCCCCCCCTCGCCCCTTCTCTCTACGAGCCAAATAAGGTCCAAAGGGAGGGATGGGAGGACGGCACGCCGCCACCACACACAGGGATTTTAATAAGAGAAGTGTGGTGGTGCTAGCCGTCGCCCACCCTTGGGCGTCTGCCTCTTCCTATCTCTCTTCCGGTCCCTCGCCGATTCTCGCTGCAACCTTCATGGACAGCACCCGGTGTGTGTGCATGCCGGGCGATGAGGTGTGGTTCTTGTGTGCTTGTGTGGGGGTGCCTCCCCGACTCGGACGGCCGCCTCAGAGGGCGGGCACGCTTTCTTCTCGCCCTCTCACCCGCGGGTGATGGCCGAGTCCACGGAGCCGCACGCTGCCTCTCCTTGGACGCAAGGCTCCGACTTCTATAGAGAAAACCTCATCTGCACCAGCGTTTTATAAGGTGCGGTCTGCGGACAACAGCTGCAGCGTCGCTGCGGGGCGAAAAGCCGCGGACGCCGCTCGCGAAACACATGGGTGTAAGGTTCTCGGACTCAGTGTAGCCGATCCCGCCCTGCATCGGCGCCCAACGGTGCATATTTCCCAACGACCTGCCAAGTCCCTGCACGGCAGGCCTCGCCATCCGTGCTGTGGCACACCAGCTCAACCAGTTCAGCATAGCCAAAGTCTACAAAGTCCTTTCGATCGACGCCGACCAGTAGAGCACCGATCTTCCTCGCGAGCGCACCGTGCGTCACCAGGATGGTCGTCGAGCCGAGAGGAGCGAGGAGCTCCATGCAGTTGGCGATCTTGTGCGCGCGCTCTACGGCCGATTGCGGATGATGCGTCAGCCCATTCAATTCGGCACCGGAGCTTGGGTCATAGCTGACGAGGCAAGTCTGCCCGCGGTAGTGCACGTCGATGTGCCGGTGTATGGCGAGGAGGTCGGCCGGGCAAAGTAGCACAGGCTGGCACACACCACGAGGAGCCGAATCGCTCGTCGGTGGGACCGCCGTGTGCTCGGCTGGGAGCACGGAGTGCCGATGCGTGCCCATCATGCGAGGCCGCAGGAAGGTCTCCTCCTCTGCCAACGCCTCGTCGATCCCAATGCCGAGCGTTGGGACTCCCATGGAGTCTGTGAGGCATCCAGCAGTCTGCACGCAGCGCACCAGCGGAGAGCTACGCACGACCAAGGGTCCATCCTGCACGCGCTCTCTTATCCATTTGCCGGTCTGGCGCGCTTGCTCGAGGCCCACGAGCGACAGCGGCCCGTCGTGTGGCCGTGACGCGTCCCGTGCCCACTCTGGATGCACGTGATCAAGCCTCTCCGCATGGCGAATGAGGAAGACACGAGTCGTCGTCGTGCCTGCGGTGGATGATGCACCGTGGTCCGATCTGCTAGTCGAGGCGCTGGCCGACATGCTGGCTGTGACGCTGGTGGCCGCGCCAGCGACGGCGGTGGCATGCAGCACAACGCGCCTGAATTGGTGCATTGAATCGGTGCATTGCCGCCGCCTATGACACCACAGCCCGCCCCGAACGGAACGTGTGATGTCACTATTTCACTCGGATTAACTCCATTGCACCTTCGGTGAGGGTCATGGCGCGTAAAAGGAGACACGGAATCGCGTGCCTCCACCAGGAAGGGCTACGCAGTATCCCTGACATCCCCTGGGATCCTGCCACTGAAGGCGGAGGGTTGGGACTCAAACGGCTTGGGCACTACATACAGGTCCGGAGGGAACCTCAACGTCCTGCAGCCACCCGCGGCGCCGTAAGGGATCGCACCTCGGACCAGATACTCTGCTGGAGGAATGGTTGGGCAAGTTACTCAGGACACGATCCCGGCGTGAATACAACTAACTGACGGATCCGCTCCTGACAGTGGCATGCACCGCGCCGCGGCGCGTGCCACTGTCTTTGTTTGAAGTAAAAAGTCGAATCAGAGCGGTGTCGGCGTTGTCCTGAGTTTTCTCCCCCGGACCGCCCAACCGGGACCGCTCCGGGACGCACGCCGGCGAAGCACCATCAAGCTGCTGTACGGCCCCGGAATCGCCTCCCCTGGCTTAGCTAGACTGAGAGATATTGTGCACATGGTCAGTCTCTACAATGTATACACTGTCACTGACACTGAACCTCCCAGAGCTCGTCCCGGTCCGCCACGGCCATCCTCAGCCTCCGGAGGGCCCCTGGCCGCGGCGCGGTGCGGCGGCGTCACAAATCCGACCACAGAGCACCGGGACGCGGTCGGGCGATCTGAGGCCCAACTAGGCGTATGCATTGCCTATCCAGGGCTATCACCTGGACCCAGCAACAGGCGCCTGCGGCGCCGTGGCCACGAGCTGCTGTTCACACTTGCCCAACCATTCATGCAGCACAGTAGAGAGCCACACCCCAAAGCCAAAGAGTAGGCAGGATAGCGCGGGCACAGCACCGCCTGTTCTCCGCGGCTGAGTGAGAGCCTTCGCTCGAGGGCTCCGAAGCTGCTTTCTCGACGTTTATGCGGCCAACGCCACTGCTGCGCCTTCTCGACTCTCCGACCAACGTACTTCTGCTCGCCGTCTTCGTCGACATGTTTGGCGTCGCCCTCGTGCTGCCGAACCTTCCATTTCTCTTTGCGGAGCTCGGCGGCACGCCAGAGAGCTTTGGCGTGCTCTCCTCCGTCTACGCGATAGCTCAGCTCACGGGCGGACTCGTCATTGGCCTGGTCGGCGACCGCCGCCTCGGCCAGAAGCTCTCGCTCCAGATCAGCTTTCTCGGCGCCGCTCTCTCCTACGCCGTGGCCGGCGTTGCGACGTCGCTGCTGCTGCTCGTCGCATCCCGAGTGATCGTCGGGCTGGCCAAGCAGACGATGACATGCTCGACGGCGCTTCTCAGCTCGCTCACCGACGAGGGAGGCCGCACGCAGGCCCTCGGCCGCCTCTCCTCCACTATGGCGCTCGCCCTCTCCCTCGGCCAAGCGCTCGGTGCGCCCGCCCGCGTTGCCGCCTCTCCTCAGCGCGGCTCACGGCCCGCCCTCTTCGCTCAGGCGGCATCATCGCCTCCCGCTATGGGCGGCGCATCCCGTGCCTCGCGGCGGCGGCTCTCTTTGCGGCCGACATCGCCCTCGTGCAGCTCTGCCTTCCGCACGTGGCCGCGCGAGGCGGAAAGGGCGGCGGCGAGAGCGGCGGGGACGGCGGGAGGAGTGGCGGCGGTGGCCGCGTCGCCGCCGTACGCTCCTCGCTGCAGCAGACGGCGGCTGCGTTCGGCGGCGGCGGCGGCGAGATGCTGCTGCTCCGGCTGCTGTACAGCCTGCTCATGCGGGCGGGGTACTCAATGCACGCGCTGTACGAGAGCCAGGCGGCAGTCCCTCGCCTCGCGCCTCACTGCTCACGCCTCGCGCCTCACGCCTCACGCCTCGACCTGGCGCCTCACTCCTCGACCTGGCGCCGCGTCCGTCAGGTGTGGTCCCTCTCTCCGGCCGTGTCTGGCTCTCGCCTTCCCTCGCGCGGCCGGCTGCGCGGCACGGGCGTGGCCGTGACCTGCCCACGGCCCGTGTCCGTAGGCTCTCTCGCCTCGTACAACCAGCTGCTCGGCCTCGCGGTAGACTGGCTCCTCGTCGGCAGGCTCGCGGCCAGCCGGGGAGAAGGGCGGCTCCTCTGCCTCTGCCTCTGCCTCGCAACCCTCAACTCGCTCCTCGAGTCGCGCCACCGCGCGTTCCTCCTCTACGCCGGGCGCCGCCGCCGCCGCGAAGAGCCGGCGAAGCGGCGGCGGACTCACCCGCGACTTCGCGCGGCTGTAGGCTGCACCTCCCCGTCTCCGCCGTCCTCGGCCGGATCACAAAGACGTGCCTCGCCTCGCTCTTCTCGAAGTCGGTGCCCGCCGCCGACCAGGCCCTCGTCCTCTCCGTCCTCGACATCGGCAACTCCGCAATCAACGTCGTCGCGCCGCTCTACGGCGGATCCGTCGTCGGCCGGCTCGGCGTCGCGTCGCAGCCGCTGCTCGCTGCGGCGCACTACGCGCTCCTCCTCGCGCCAACCGCGCTAGTCGTGAGGCGCGCCGAGAGCGAGGCCGCGCGGAGAGGAGGCGGCGCCAAGCCAAAGGAGCTGTGAGCTCGGCACGTTGCCCGCGGCCGTACGTTCGTGTCGTCGGCCCTCGAGATTCGTTTAGCGGTCTCGAGTCTGTAGGAAAACTAAGCGTGGGCGACGCGAGTGTGTGTATATGTACGTTATCCGAGTGTACACGTTGTGAGAACCCGCTTGTTGGCTTTGCGCCTGACCGCCTCTCCGTACTGAGCGTGTAACTCTGTGATCTGATCTGACAGTCTGTGTGGGTTCCGATTTTTTTTCTTGCTGAGAGATGAGACCCTTAGGGTACCCCTAAGCGCTAAGGGGGCGAGGGCCGGATTTATAGCACAGCGCGGATGCTCGCCAGCAGACCAGCACGGCCCGCCGTCGGTCGCGGTCTCGTCTTAGTTCTGGCAGCGTCGGCGCCGACCTGCTCCCGCGCGCTGGCCACGCATCATGCTGCGCTTCGCGAGCAATCGCGTAAAACGGGAGGCTCGCTGGCTTTTTGTGGCTTTTTGGACGGCTTTTTTGGATACTCCCGCCCTCCCACCCCTCTCTTGGATTTTTTAAAACGCCTTTTCAGAAATGCAAATGGGGAGTCACGCATGACATTTGACATATGCCATGCATGTGCATGCACGCACATGCACATGTGCATGTGCATGCAGATGCACCTTTTCGTCTATGACTATGTGTGTGAGCTGCGAAGTCGAAGTCACTGTGTCGTGCGCGTAATTTTCTTGTTTCGTATAAACTGATTACTTCTTAGGCGTTCGGGCGTTAGTGCCAGAGCGCGCCAGTCGCGTCTAGTGTCGTGAGAATGAGAGCAGCACTTGGAGCACTTTGGAGTGCAGGTCGGTAACCACCGCACGCCCAGGACCGGGGAGCTGAGAAGCTTGGCCTTTTATACGCTTTTCTCGCCGAGTATTATCTATATTCTTTTTGCGTATTCTTTCCGTATTCTTGTCCAAAATAGGGTCTATATTCTCGAATATGGCAAGAACAGATCCCAGTTGGCCAGACGATTGGGGTCGGGTTGCGGGCTAGAGAGCCCTACCTATCCCTGGGGGGGTGCGCGGTCGCAGGGCCATAACACGGGTCTCCGAGGGATAGCTCCGCGCTCCGATGTCCCAAATTACGTGTGAGTGTTAGAGTTGTTTGGTATTGCTAAAAATCTCTCTCCGATGTCTGCGCGTGAACAATTTCTTCTTGTTGTCGGTGTACCTGTGTTAGTGCCAGTGCGCGCCAGTCCCGTGCCCAGTGTTGTGCGAGGGATTTTGTTGTAAAATTCTTGTTGCATTCTGGCACCCACTCTCTTGGTCGCCTGCGAACAATTTCTTCTTGTTGCATTCTGGCACCCCTCGAGAGGCTCACGCGGAGTCGGCTGGGGCTATACCAGGATTTGCCTTCGACAGCGGCCATCTGGTGAGCGATGCTGCTTCTCGCTGCGCACCTCCTCGTCACGCCATGCCGGCACCACGCAACGCCGATCTCGATGGCAGAGGCCTTGGAGGCGTTGCCACGCCGCGAGCTGCAGGCGCTTGCCAAGCAGAGCGGACTGCGAGCGAATCAAAAGAGTTCAGTCCTCATCGCGCAGCTCAGTGGAAGGAATGGCGGCGTCTGGCCGCCAGCAGGCGTGGCCGGTGCACCCGTGGACCTGCCGGCGGCAGAGGACGAAGACCTGCGCTTGCTCTCGCGGAGAGAGCTGCAGGAGGTCGCCAAGCGGAGGGGCGTGCGGGCAAACGCAAAGTCGAGCGAGATCATCTCGGCGCTGGAGTCGCTCCGTCACGCCGACAGAGCCGCGCCGGAGCCCGACCCGGCACCAGCACCGCCAGAGGCTGCCGCGCCGGTGGAGGCTGCGGACGTCGGTCTCGATCTGGTGGAGCGAGCCCGGCCCGCGGTGCTGACGCCCGCGCCGTGCGCGGGCGGGCGGTGGCAGCCGATCCGGCTCCGCGGCCCGTCCCTCGAGCTGACTCTGCTCGTGCGGGACGTGGGCACGCCAGTCGGCCGGCTGGATGTGCCTCCTCTGAGCATCGTCGGGGAGAGGCTGGGCGGGGCGGAGGTGGAGGCGGAGGTGCTGCCCGCGCTGGAGCTCGGGGAGGAGGAGGTGGCGCTCGCCGCGGGGTGGGCGTCCACGCTCACCGGGCTGCTCGGCATCGACGAGCCCGGCCTCTTCCCTGCTCCGGCTCAGATGCTGCATGCGGACGGCGTCTCGAGCGGCTCCGCGGGCGGGGCCGGCGAGGCGGCGGTGCTCTTCTGGCCGCAGACGGAGGTTGGGGGCGGCGCTGGTGCGGCGGGCGAGCGGCGCGCTCTCGACGCCTTGCGGGACCCGGCGCAGTGGGAGAGGCTGACTGCGGAGCCGGGCGCCGCAGAGCCGCGCGCCACAGAGCTTGGCACTGCAGAGCTTGGCACTGCGGAGCGGGGCGATGCAGCTGCGTGGCCCGAGGACGGCGAGGGGGAGCCGGTGGTTGTGCTCGAGCACCGGAGGCCGGAGTGGGTTGCGCTCACGCCCACGCTACGGCTCTCCCGCGGTGTGGCCGGCTTGGCGAGGGTCAACCCGGACCGGAACGAGCAGAGCGGCGTCGGCGAGAAGACGCACCGCAACCCGAAGAACGCGCTGCAGGAGGCCGCCTACCGGCGCGGCCTCCCGCCTCCGAGCTACGCCTCGGAGCAGCTCTCGGAGCAGGTCTGGGCCGCGACCCTCTCCCTCGAGGGGTACGGGCACTTCCGCGGCGAGCCCGCGCCGCGGAAGCGGCTCGCAGAGATGGCTGCGGCGCGGCTCGGCCTCCGCGCCGTCGAGGAGGGGGCGGAGCCCCCTGCGGCGGCGGAGCCCCCTGCGGCGGCGGCGGAGGAGCCGGCGGTGCTGCCGCCCGGAGGAGTGGGCAGCCCAAAGGCGCGGCTGGGCCGGCTGGCGACGCGGGCGGGCGGCTACGTGGCCTACTCCGTCGAGCACCTCGGCCACCAGCTCTTCCGCGCCACCGTCCGCCTCGCCGGCATCGAGGCCGCCTCCCCCGCCGCGTGGCCGCCGGCGGCAGGCCTCGACGCCGCCGGCGAGCCCGCGCGCTCGAAGAAGCTGGCCGCGCAGAGCGCTGCGACGGTCGCACTCGGCGAGTGGGGCGACCAGCTCGCGCTGCTGTGCGAGCCCGGCGCCGACGCCGCGGGGGAGGAGGGGGAGGGCGGAGGCGCAGTGCTTCGGCTCGCCCTCCCTCTCCGCGCGTCGCAGTGGCGCGGCGCGGCGTGTGCCGTCGTGATGGCGCGCGTCCTGGCGCACGCCGCAGAGGTGCGCCTCCTCCGCGCCGACCTGCTCACGCTCCTGCCCGCGGCGTCGGTGCCTTCCTATGCGACCCTCTGCGGCGCCACGACGCCGCGCTCGATCGGCGGCGGCGGGGAGGGGTCCAACGAGATGTCCGCTTGGGTGGGCAACGCGGTCTTGGGCCTCTGCTGCAAGGTGGCCGCCGTCCTCGCCCTCGGCGCGCCGCCGCGGCGGGCGCAGCAGGTCTTCTCCCCGCACTACTACCGCTGGCTCGGCACCAGCTGGCTGGCGGGGCGGGTGCGGTCGCGCGGGTGGGAGAAGGCGCTCTTCCTGCAGCCGTGGGCCGGCGAGAGCGGCATCACGCGAGGGGGGGCGAGCCCCGAGACGCAGAAGGAGGTTGGCGAGGCGGTCATCGGCGCCGTCTTCCTCCACAGCCTGGCGGCGCACGGCGTCGACCGCGCGATGGAGGACGCGTGGCGCCTCTGCTCGCGCGTCGTGCTGCGCGGCGAGGGCAGCGTGGCAGAAGGGTGGGGCGAGGCGCTCGCCGTGCTCCGCCCGCGCCTCGTCGCTCGCCGGCCGGGCCCCGTCCGCGTCTGGGTCGACCTCCTCTCCCTCCCGTGGCCTAACCCTCACCCTCACCCTCACCCCAACCCTAACCCCAACCCTAGGTCGACCTCCTCTCCCTCCCGTGGCCTAACCCTCACCCTCACCCTCACCCCAACCCTAACCCCAACCCTAGGTCGACCTCCTCTCCCTCCCGTGGCCTAACCCTCGCCCTCACCCTCACCCCAACCCTAACCCCAACCCTAGGTCGACCTCCTCTCCCTCCCGTGGCCGAGCGAGCCGGGCCTGTTCGCCTCGGCCGCCTCGCGCGAGTGGGAGGGGCAGTCGCTCGAGTTCGTCGGTGACGGCGTCCTCCGCGTCCTCCACTCGCTCCACCTCCTCGAGTCGCTGCCCGGCTCGACCGAGCGCGGCGTGCGGGCGGCGGCTCGCATCGCGATGGAGAGGAACGAATTCCTCGCGCGCCGGATCTCGCGCGTCGTCGGCACAGACGGCTCCTGGCTGACGAGCAAGCTCCGGCTTGCGCGCGACGAGGTGCAGCGTTCGATGGCGGAGCAGGACCAGCTCCAGCTGGGCGACGAAGAGGCGTTTCGGCTCGACCTCGCCGCCAGCTTGCCCGACGAGAGCACCAAGGTGCTGGCCGACGTGCTCGAGGCGCTCGTCGGCGCGGTGGCGGTGCAGGACGGCCTCGAGCGGGCGGGTGCCGCCTTTGCCCAGGTGGTCCTCCCGCCCCAGTGCGTCGTCGACGAGCTCGCCGACGGCAGGGTCGCGGGCGACGTGACGCAGCTCCCCGCTGGCTCCGGTGGTGCCTCGAGGTGGTCCGCTTCAGCATGATCACTGATCAGGGTGGGCTCGTCTCATGTCTGTATGTGTGGACTCGTGGTGGTTTGAAGGTTTCGTTTTTGACATCTGTCCGTACACAAAAAGGCCAGAGAGCTCGAGCGGAAGCCGGCGGTGAACTCCAAAATTTGCTATAACCTATGTGTCCGGTCTAGTAGGTGGCGCAATGTGATATCTCTTCGTGTTCTTCAGCACCGACCGGACGTTGGCGGTAAGAAAGGGCGCGCTCGGGCCGATGTGCTGCAGCCCGACGAGCGCGCCGCGCAGCTCTGGTGCGTGGAAGAACGCGCGTGCCGCCGGCCGCAGCGACAGCCGCTGCAGCAGCACGCACAGACGCGCCGCCAGAGACTCGTCGCCGTCGCGCGATGCGCCGTCGCGCGAAATCACCCTGGCTGCGACCCGGAAGAAACGCGGCGTGCAGAGTGCCTCCACCGCCGCCTCGGCGACGGGCCGTGGCGCGGCGAGCAGCGCGAGGAGAGAGGCGGACGACGCCATCGCGAGCGGCGGGTGGCCACAGCCTGCGGCCTCGACCAGCTCTGCGAGTCCGAGCGACAGCAGCTCGCCGCGAGCCGCGCAAGCAGACTCCTCCTCCCCTCCCTCGAGCTGCAGCGCCCGCACCGCCGCCACAGCATCGCTCACCAACGTACCGCTGCCGCCGCCTCCCGCCCCTCCCGCCTCGCCGGCTTGGCGCAGCGAGAGGCGCAGCAGGAGCAGCGCCGGCAGAACCCGCGCCGCCGCAGGAACGGTCCCGGCCGCAGCAGCGGTCACCGCCGTCGCGGTCGTCGCGACGGAAAGGGAGGAGGAGCGCGTCTCCTCACTAGCCTATGGCCGGACACGGGCCGCTGAAGAGGGCAGAGGTGGCCTCGCCTCCCGCCGCCCCTCCGAAGCCCTCGCCTGCGGCGCGAGTCTGTCGGACAAGTGGCGCACGAGCCGCCTCTCCCACTGCGCCGCCGGCCGCGCGCCCAACCTCGCCCGAGGTGGCCCGGAGGGGGGAGCGTCCGCGGCGTCGGCCGTACCTCTGCCCGCCGCGCCGCCGCCCGCCGCGCCCCACAGCAGCTTGTACGCCGCCACCGCGGCAGGGTCGTCCAGAGGCAAAGAGACGCACAGGTCGACCGCGCCGCCGAACGCGGCGTCGTCCAGGCTCGCTCCGTCCAGCGGTGCCGCCGCCCCCGTCGGGAGGAGGAGCGCGGTTGCGAGCGCGCGGCTGCGTTCTAGCCGACCTTGCAGCGCCTTTTCCCGCAAAGCGGCGGCAGAGTCGGCGGCGGCGGCGGGCGGAGGTGGAGGCAGTGCCGCTGGCGCAGGCCGTGCCGCGCGCGGATCGGAGAGGCGCGCTGAGGTGGCAGCCTGGCAGGCGGCAAGCTTCGCCCTCCGCCTCTCGAGCTCCTCGTGCCTCGACTTGAGAAGCGAAGCGACCCGCTCCAGCCGCTCCACGTGAGCACCGGCGCGTGCCTCGAGCGCCTCGCGGCCACGCGCAGAGAGGCGAGAAGCCTCAGCTGCCAGGAGAGCGCGCAAAAGTGGCTCGTCCGGCGCCGGCGGCTGCTGCGCGGCGCTGCTCTCGGCCACTGCAACCGCCGCTTCACGGCAGGCGACGGCCGCCTCACGTGCCGTCACCTCGTCGTGCCGCCGCTGGAGCGCCCGCGCCGATTCGGCCAGCGCCTCGTGCAGCGAGCGGAGCTCCGACGCCGCGGAGGCGAGCGTTCGAGGCTGCCCTGCTGACTCCAGCATCTTACACCGGCCGGTGGGGAGGGCGCCTTGGGTGTAAAAAAAAATTTAGCCGAGTGGAGGGAGGAGCGTGCCGGACGGGGCGTCGCCGCGCCGTCCGATGGTCTGCTGCCCCGCGCAGCAACCGTCGGGCGACGACCCGGGGGCCAAAAACCCGGCGACGACGGCGCTCAGGATGGGGCGTGACCTCCTGCCTCCAACCTCCTTCCTTTTTGAGCAGGTGTGACGCCGCGCGAGCGACGCTCCGAGATCGCCCGAGATAGCGCGGCGCGGCCCCGAGATCGCCCGAGATAGCGCGAGATCGCCCGAGATCGCGCGGCGCGGCCCGGGGCGGGGTGGATGGGTTGGGAGCGAGGGGGCGGAAGTGTTCAGTGCGGTAGATGGCGAGCTCGAGGCGCGTGAGCCGGACCTGTGAGCCGGACCACCCCCTCTTGTTATCTGCGTTGTTGAGCCAGGACTCAACATACTCGGGCTTGCTCATCCCAAACTGTCACTCCCCTTTCTCCCGGCCGGGGTGGGGCGCGCGCGGGGGCGGCGGGTGTGCGGCGGGTGTGAGGGATGTCTGTGAGACCGAGAGCGATATGCCATGTCCGCCTTGCTTTGTTTCCTAACATCGAAGGCTAAGCTCAAAAAAAAATTTAGTTCGGTGTGAGTGTGTTTATCTACTGCATCTTTAGTGCACTTTAGCGCAAATTTAGCGCAAATTTAGCGCAAATTTAGCGCAAATTTAGCGCAAATTTAGCGCGAGTTCACTGCGACTTTACATCCAGATTTAGCGAGGTTAGTGCGTCTTTAGTCCAGCCGCGCAGTAGGATCCAGCCGCAGCCCCTCGCTGGGCCTCCCTCCCCCTCTCCCCCTGCAGTTCCCTGCCCACTCGCAAAAGTTCCCCGTCCCATCCCCAACCGAACGAAGGTTCTTCAGCTGAATATCAACATCCAAGGTGCTTTCCGGGCTGCTTCTCCGGGCCCGCCGAGCGAGCGGCAAAAAGTTTGCCGGAAGCGGGGCGTGAACATAACGACTTTACTGCGATGGCAGAGACGGCCGAGCAGACGAGGGTGGCGCTGCCGTGGCAGCAGGGAGAGGCGAGGGGCACGCTCAACCTGCCGGCGTCGACCAAGGTGGAGGACCTCAAGCTGTGCCTCAACGCGAGCGACTGCGCCGCGGTGATGTTTGACACGGTCATCATCGAGGTGAGGAAGGGCGGCTTTGAAATTCCAAGACCGACCCTCACCTCTACTCTATTACAGCTGGTGGTCACGGGCACAGCATGGGTTGTGCGGTCGGAGGTGGTGCTTGCGGTGGCGCATTCAACTGTGCTGGTCCTCCTCTCGGGAATAGGTGCTGTGCCTGTGCTCAGTCGGGAGATCTTGCTCTGGAGGGCTGCATATCTAGCCTCACTGGGAGCCTGCCTTTGGGTCATGAGGGCAGGGGCCAGGCATCTCTTGTGGTGCATTCTTGGCAGCCAAGGAGCAAAGCACGCGGCCCTGGCTAGCTGTGGTGTGGCTGGGAAGCCGTGCTAAAGATGCGTGCCCGCACTAAAGATGCGGGACCCACACTAAATGTACTGCAGCTGCCCGCACCTAAAGTGAACTAAATGTGGCGCTAAATTGGAGATAAAACACACTAAATATGTGCTAAATATGTGCTAAATATGTGCTAAATTCGCGCTAAAGACGCACTACACACGCACTCGAACACACACTAAATAGCGCACTAAACTATCACTAAAGTTCATTCACACGCACTAAATTTAGTCCCAAGCGCCCTCCGGTGGCACAAAAAAGATCCGCCCTCCTACTCGAGTATCTCGCGATGCGCTCCCCAATCCCGTTCCCCTGTGTCCCGGATCGTCCTTCCAAAATCCTGCTCGTGCAGGTAGGGACCCTGTCCTCCCCCCATCCCTCGTCTGGGTTGTGTGTTCTTTCTTTCTTTTACACAGCGAAAGAGGTTGTGCGACGGTGTATCATTCACTTTATGCTACCGTTGCATATCGGATATGCAACGGTGGCATAAAGTGAATGATACACCGTCGCAGGTTGCCACGGCGGGAGGACTCGCCGTCTGAGCCTAGCGCAGCGCGAACTCGCTCTGAGCCTAGCGCAGCGCCTCGGACACCACCATTTTCAATCTAAGTGGCTCTTACGTACATTCCCGGAGGAGGACTGCTGACAGGGTTTGCGATGAGGATTTTGGCTCGCCAACAAGCCCTAAAAAGAAAGAAAGCCGGGAAACGGAATTATACCTGCGTCTGTTTATTATGACCATTTGTTGTGCAGCCACAGCATCCCGGGGGGGTGAAGCAAACGAATAAGCCTCGCATTTTACCATGCGGGACGGACCGGCGGGAGTCTTCGGAGCGCGAGCATCGCCGTAGGGCAGCAGCGCCGCCGCCCGACGCTCTCATCGAGCGCAATGTCGTGCTGCTCCGTCTGCCGCAAGCCCAAGAAGACCACCGACGAACGGCGCGACGAGGCGTACCAGCTCGAGGGCCTCATCCCCGACGGCCCTATCACCTCGCTGCCGCACCTCGGCCGCAAGGTGGAGGCCGGACTGCAGGAGCGGATCCTGCCAGAGTCGATCTATGCCGCGGTCATCATCATCACGCTCGACACGCGCGGCACCCCGCCCGAGCTCGTCACACGCGTCCTGCCGCTCGTCTTTGTGCTTGTGCTGGCGCTCGCCGCGCAGCTCCTGTTCGCAATCTACCTCGACCGGGCCGTCTGGCTGGTGGAGGGCGACCTGGCCGACAACTGCGACGAGACGGAGCAGCTCATGCGCTGGGTGGCCACCTTCACCTTTGTCTGCGTCGTCTTTGCCGACGTTGGCAACACTTTCGAGATGCACGAGTGGTTGCAAAACATGCCGAGCGAGTGGATGCACAAGCGGCTCAAGTTCCGCTCGTACGAGCTCTCGGAGCGCCTCGTCACCAAGGTGCTCCCGGGCGCAAAGTTTACGCCCGTCAACAGCCCCGCCGTGAGCCCTGTTGCCAGCCCCGCAAACAGCCGCTCTGGCAGCCCGGCCATTGTCGGCAAGTCTCGCCGGAGCCGTGCGCCAAAGCCGGCTCCACAGCAGCCGTCGGCCGAGGAGGAGCCGCCGTCGGATGCGCCGCTCTCGCGCCTCTCCGTCGACCCTGTCGACGACGACGGCGTGCCGGTCGACGCGCCCTCGCCACCGGCCTCGCCGCCCGCCTCGTCGCCCGCCGGTGACCGGCGCTCTCAGGGCGACCGGCGCTCCCAGGGCGAGTCGCGGCGCTCCCAGGGCGACCGGCGCTCCCAGGGCGACCGGGGGGCGGCAGAGCGGCGCTCGCAGGGCGCGGGCGGGCTGCCGACGGACGACGCCGGCCCGTCGCGGGCAGAGGAGCGCGTCGAGCGCGCACGCACGCAGAGGCGAAAGAGCCGCGTGTCTGCGGCCGACCCGAGCCTCAGCGCGCCGCTCAACCCTCCGGCCAGCCCGCCCGCCCCCGTCGCCGTGCCTCTGTCGCCTGGCGCCGGGGAGGACCCCGGACAGCGCGGCTCAATTGCGGGTGCCATCTCGCTCACCATCACGAGACCGCTCACCGGCCTCACGCGCATCGAGCGGACCGGCTTCCAGATCATGCTCCTGGTCAAGTTCGTCGCCTCGGTCATCGTCATCATCTCCGGATCGGGAGCGGTCGTGCGCTCAGGGAACGACTTTGACCTCATTGTGAACTCACTCGCCGCCGTCTTCATCGTTGACATACCCGCCCTGGCCTACAAGGTTTGTGGGGCCGTGATCCGCTTTTTCATGCCGCCACGATGGGACCGGCGCATGTCGCACAGCCCAAACACGACTGCCCTCCGCCCTCGCACGCAGGTGTTCCTGCCCCCGGCCTTCAAGCGGCTCATCCAGGACATGCCGCCCTTCTCCAACCCCGCGCGCGAGGAGGCCAAGAAGTGCACCTGCAAGTCGCTCATCAACCGCTGCTCCTCTGCGATTGCGGCCAAGGTCCGGATCGCCTTTGTCGCGCTCTACATCTACATCTACTTTGCTCTCTGCGTCTGCATCTCGTATTTGCTCGTCCAGGCGCCGTGCTTCCGGTACACACCCAGCCATCGGTGCCGGTGCACTCGCGCCATGACCGTGCGGCGTGTGTGGCCCCACCCTCGCAGATCCGATGGTGTGGAGGCTGGGACAGCTGCCCGTGGTGGCTCGCTTGGCTGTGCAAGGGAACCTACTGGTGCTGGTTCGACGACGTGGCCCAAAGTGGCGGCTGGAATAGCAGTCTATTGGGCGACAGCGACCTGTGCGTGTTCCCCCCGCCACCAGCGCCATCGGCGCCTCCACCGTGATGTAGCTGCGATGGACTCGCCACGCCGCAATGCGATGGAGAGTACCACCCGTTGTGACGTTGCGGGCTCGGGCGCGGCCGCGGCGAGGCGGCCCGGCGCACACCGAGGCGGGGCTGAGCGGGATGGCGCACCTGTGCGCTGGGCCTAAATGTATTGCCGGTGGGTGCGCCTCGTGCGGCGAGGGAGAGCCATGTGTAGTGATCTCGGGGAAGCCGAATGCTCCATGATTCGGGATGGGCGCCTCCGAGAGATCCAAGACCCAATATTGTAGAGGAGGTGAGGCCAAGCCCAGCGCGCTTTCTTCCTTTCGCCGAAAGTGTTGCGGCGAGCAGCAGGCGCTCCGACTCCACACTCCAGCGCCTCTATCAGCAGTCTCTGTGTGGCAGCTATTACGGCCCCGAGAGCAGCACCGCCGCGCGCCGCGCGACCACACGACCCTCCACACGCGGGAGGGCAGGCTGCTCCACCGCGCCTCCATCGCCGCGCAAGCCGCCTGCGCGTGCACAGTGGCACAGAACACCCCGAGTGCAAGAGACGGCAAAGGCCGCGCGCACATCGCTGCGTCGGCCTGTAGAGCATGCAGGCATGCACAGCGTCTCTGGGGGTCAATTCTTAGGGCCTGGAGTCGGAAAATTTTCTCTCTTTCCCGTCAGGGGACAGTGCCAGTGCGGGCCAGTCGCACCGTTAAGCGTTATTCTTTTGTAAATATAAAAAATAAATAATGTATGTAAAAAGCTAAAACTAAGGACGAGAGGGCACAAAGATTTCGTGATTTCGTCAGGGACGGGGAACTGGAAACGAATTAGATTGCACATCTCAGAAAGAAAGAAAGAAAACACACGTTGAGGAGGAGGGATGGGAGGACGGCACGCCGCCACCCCACACCCCCCGGGATTTCACGGGAAGGAAGGTGGTGTTTGCTAGCCTAAACTGCACCTGGAAAGGGAGAGCGAGACTCATCATTTAGAGAATGTGGGAGGGCCGAGCCCGGGACCGCGTGAGCGCTGCAGTCCTGCAGTCGCGCACACGCGCGCTTGGGTACGCGCTACGGTGGAACTCGTGTTAATTGAACAAGGCTGACCCCTACCCCTCTCGGTGGGCTTGCAGGTAGGGGGTTCGGGTAATAAGGTGCATCGGGGTCGGCGGGCGTGAACTGGAGTGATACCGCTTCGGCCGTTTAGTAGCGAACTCCCTTTCCCCTCGACGGCCTTCTGAGCTGCCTCGGCTGGGTGTGTGTCTCTGCCGTTCCTTCGTCCGGCTGTTCGTACCTGTTCGTGCGTCAGGTGTGGGTGCGTTTTGGCCAGTGCCGTTCCTGCGTCCGGCTCTGGGAACCCGTTCGTGCGACAGGTGAGTGTTCGTGTGTCGTGTGTGGGATTTCTACCGTTGAGCTGTGCCGTTCCTGTGTCCGGCTATTCGTACCTTGTTCGTGCGGGAGGTGTGTGTGGGGGAGGGGTCTGCCCAGTGCCTGTTTGCTTTAACCCGGTTGAGCCATGGGGGAGTCAGGCAGGAGGAGTTTTGGGCTGAGGGGCCGTGCTTTCCGTTGAAATCGTTCCAGCGTTGTGTGATTTGAAGACGTCTATAGCTTTCGTGTGGAGTTCGATGGAGCCTGTTTCTTTGCAGAGCTCTCCGAATGGAGCGTAGGTGTCTGACAGTGACTGCGGAAAAGGGTAGAATTCTTTGATGCGGAGGCGGAGCGCAGGGCAATTGCGCTTGAGAGGGAGGTGTGGGTTGACGGGGAGTGTCGGTTGACGGGGTGGGCCGCGCTATCAAAGACACGTGAAACGAGGCAGTGCACCGAAAGTACCCGGGGCGGATTTCTCCCCTGCAAGACCGCCCGCTATCGCGGCGCACGCGAGGCAGTCGCCGTGCTGGAGGACGACCCGCGCTGCAACGCCGGCCGCGGCTCGAACCTCAACCTGGACGGCATCGACGATGGCCTATCGCCCCGCCCGCGAAGGCAATCTCCTCTCCCTCTATATCAACAACCGTGCTGGTGGTCTCATCTTCCATAGAGTGCGTTCTTCCTGCAGATCCGCGCACCTCCACCGCAGCCAACAGCATCCCCCGCCAAAACAGGACTTCAGTCCTAACGCGGCCAAGCTCGACACCAACGAGCAAATGCAGCTGGCGTCGACGTTCAGCGGACTCGCCCTCATCATGGGCCAGCTCGCGCCCAGCCGGCCCTCATCCGGGATGCAGCTGCTCGAGGCGGACGGTGGGCGCACCTCAACAGCAGGACACCCCCGCCGGCCAGCCCCCACCCCGCGCTGTGCTGCCACAGGCTTTCTGTTGCAGTCCTTCGACTCGCCCACTGGCATCAAATTCTTCCTCACGGCGGAGCCCGACGCCAAGGGCCTCGACCTAGTGCTGCGAGAGGTGCGTTGCGAGTGCCTCCGAGAGAGGGCGCGCACTCCCGCCGAGAGAGCACGCGCCCGCAGGTGTACACTTACTATGCTGACTACGTGCTGAAGAACCCGTTCTACGAGATGGACATGCCTATCCAGAAGGGTGGCAAGTTCTGCCAGAAACTCGATCGGATGGTGGCGCAGGTGCAGGATAGAAGGTAGCACGTGGCGCACACCGGGACCGGTCCGGTACGGCTCTAGTGACATACATGTTGCATGCACATCCTGTGCATGCACATGTGCATGCACATGTGTAGAGTGCGGGTGAGTGGGCAGAGTCCAGAGAGAGCGCGTGGGTGCACGGACTCTGCTGCGTCCCGAGCACACTACCGTGCGGGACTATGGGACTCTAGGCTCTAGCGCACTGCCGCGCTGTGCGAGAACAACTGGAGGCGCCCGCCCGTGGCCCCGACTGGCGACTCTAGCGTGTGGCGACTGGGACTGCGGAGAAAACTACAACTAGCAGGTAAACTACTCTTGCCAATTCGCAAAACGATTGAAAGAGCTTGAGTGGTGCATGCTGCATCCGCGATCCGCGTGGGCCGTTGTTATTTTTTTTGACCGTGTATTCCCTACGTTGCTACGTATTGTGGCGCAGCCACGAGCCCCAGGGTCTCTGGTGTCTGGAGATGTGCGCTGTGGACTAACCGGACCGCACCTCTCCCCTCCATCACAAGCCGCCACACCGCACTGGCGTGCGCTCAAGGTTCAGACTACACACCTCTCCCCCATGATAGAGCAAGTTCCACAGCCTTGCCGTGCGCAAAAGTTGAAGCCAAGTTAGTGCATTTTGAGCACATCCTTGAAGGGCATCGAGTCTGGCAGGTCAGAGGGTTTGACGGAGGCGACCGCCTGGTTGCGACGGGCGAGGCTGAGGTGAGGGGCGTGAGTGGGGTGTGTTGCCGAGGCTGGGGTGAGGGGCGTGAGTGGGGTGTGTTGCGTGAGAGAGAGGGATTTTAGGTGTGTCTGTGGCCGCGGCGCACCTTCGCCATGCTCGACGCCACCTCCGCCTCCAGCTCCTTGACCTTCTCCGCTGGCAGCGACTCTTTGAGGCCGGCAAGCACCTGAGGAGGGAAGGGGGTGGAGTTGTTGAGGGGGGAGGGGAAGAGGGGGGTGAAGGGCGCGGCCCGCGTGCGTGCGTGCGTCGCCTTTGTGTTTTGCGACGAGAGGAAGGCGACCGAGTTTGTGATGATGCTCTTCTTCTCCGCCTCGGTCAGCTTATACTCGAGGCCGTCATAGGCGGACGCCTCGCGCCGCTCGAGGAGCTTCACGTTGGTCATAATGTCGTGCACCAGCGTCCCTTCGACCGTGTACTTGCACTGGCTCGGGTCGCGCGCCGCGGCCACCGTCGGCACGACTCCGGTGCAGAGCGGGTCCTTCTCGACGCGGCCGATGATGGATTTGAGCAGCTCGGGCTGCGCTGCGGCGAATGCCTCGTACGTCTCGCGCACCTTGGTCTGCGGGCGAGGCGGGGAGGGGGGCGGGTGGGGGTGAGGGTAGCGGGTCGGAGGGGTTGTTCAGGCCGCCGCCGTCAGAATGCACAGCCGCTGGCCGGCAGAGGAGAGGCAGAGAGGCGGCAGCACGCACCGCCTGGGCCGCAATCGGCTTGAGGCTCTCGGCGAGGTGCGGCGTGAGCGCGAGCCATTTGGCCTCGGCGGCCTTGAGCTTGCCAACCACGTCGCCAGAGGCGACCTCGCCCATGAGGTGCCTGCGCACAGCGTTTCTCAACCTCAGCAGCCATGCAGCAGCGTTGAGGGGGGAGCGTGAAGGCGCATTGGTTCGCACCTCAACGACATAGCTGCCGCACGCGCCGGCCGCAGTCTCCCTGAGAGACAACGCGGGCGTGCCAGGTCAGGCCGACGCAGCGATGTGCGCGCGGCCTTTGCCGTCTCTTGCACTCGGGGTGTTCTGTGCCACTGTGCACGCGCAGGCGGCTTGCGCGGCGATGGAGGCGCGGTGGAGCAGCCTGCCCTCCCGCGTGTGGAGGGTCGTGTGGTCGCGCGGCGCGCGGCGGTGCTGCTCTCGGGGCCGTAATAGCTGCCACACAGAGACTGCTGATAGAGGCGCTGGAGTGTGGAGTCGGAGCGCCTGCTGCTCGCCGCAACACTTTCGGCGAAAGGAAGAAAGCGCGCTGGGCTTGGCCTCACCTCCTCTACAATATTGGGTCTTGGATCTCTCGGAGGCGCCCATCCCGAATCATGGAGCATTCGGCTTCCCCGAGATCACTACACATGGCTCTCCCTCGCCGCACGAGGCGCACCCACCGGCAATACATTTAGGCCCAGCGCACAGGTGCGCCATCCCGCTCAGCCCCGCCTCGGTGTGCGCCGGGCCGCCTCGCCGCGGCCGCGCCCGAGCCCGCAACGTCACAACGGGTGGTACTCTCCATCGCATTGCGGCGTGGCGAGTCCAGACCAGCGACGAGGGGTGGGGCTTGGGTTTTCAGGTATGTTGGGTGGGAGAGAGAGAGAGAGAGAGAGAAGAGAGAGAGAGAGAGAGAGGGGGGGGGGGGTGAAGGGGGACTGTGGCCCCGTGAAACTTCGTTCGACCATTGCGTGTCTCGCGGGCTCGGGCTGACGGCATCGCTGACCATGAGCCCGGGTCCGCAGCCAGGGAGTCCCAGCAGGGATGCAGTTGCACAGCTTCTCTTAGGAGCGGGCGCTGAGGTACGACGCCAACGGCTCTCCTCCTTCCTGAGCGATGCCGGGGTATCATCGGCCGAGAGTGCCCTCGTTGAGGCCGGCTTCAACTCTATAGCACTGCTCAAGGCTGCTACATTTGAAGATCTCACTGCTGCAGGCGTAACGCCGGTGCACGCTCGAGCCTTGGTGGCCACAAACGATGGCGATCCGGACAGAATCACGATTGGGGACCCGCCCGAGGACAATGACAGCCGGAGCTCATTGCTGGGCCGAACCAAAAAGGTCGAGCCAGAGAGGAGGCGCTGCCCCTCTATGACCACACTCTGCCTCGGCTTTGTGTTGGTTTGTGCTGCTGTTGCTGCCAGCCCAGCGCGGCCCGGCCTGCAAGCCCGTGCTGAAGCGTGGTTGCTGCGTGGCAGCAGCAGCAGCAGCGGCACCAGCAGCACCAGCAGCACCAGCAGCACCAGCAGCAGCGCGGCTGCACGAGGAGGTCATCCAACAGGGACAATCAACGACGGCCGCAGTAGCACACGAGGTCACAATGGTGGCCGTGATAAGGTGGCCAGGACGCAGCGGATGGACAAGCCACATGCCGTGTCTGGAGCTCCCGTTCGACGGCGGATGCACAAGCCACAACCACCACTTCTTCACAGGCCACCACCGCCACCTCCTCTTTACAAGCCGCCGCCGCCGCCGCTGCCGCCACCTCCTCTTTACAAGCCGCCGCCGCCGCCGCCGCCGCCGCCGCCGCCGCCGCCGCCGCCGCCGCCGTCACCAACACCAACATCACACTACGGCGCGCCGCTTCCCCGCAGTGGGAAGAGAGGCACTTCAGAGGTAGTGCCCAAGCGCCCCCGTTCGCCCTCGCAAGCGAGGCCCAGTCGGCGAGCACCGGCTCAGGCTGTTCAACCGGGGCCACCGGTTGCGGGAAACAATAGCCCAGCACCAACGTCCGAGGGGGCCGAGAGAGGTGCAACAAACGCGGCGGAGCGGGAACGACTCAAAGCCGCTCGAGATGCAGAGCAAGCTCGCGGAAAGAAGCAGGGCAGGGAGGACAGACAGCGGCAACGCGAGGCGGCTGAGAAGGCGCGGGCCTTGAAGGCGGATCAAGAGCGAAGTGGCAGCATGGCGTCAAGCGCCCAAGGCACGCCGCAGGTGCAGCGTTCTGGATGGTACGTCGGGTCCTTTGCGCAGAGCTGCACGGCAACTTGCAAAGCGCACGGCTTGGTTTGCACCGAAGACATGCTTGCAGCACACAATGGCGATGTCAACACCAGCAAAGGTGTCATGATGACGGCAGGCCTGAGTCATCTGGGCTCGAAAATTGACCCGGACCGCTGTGACACGAAGTGGGGTGACGCTCCAGATACTCCGGTCATGGACGAGACTGGGTGGTGTGCAACATCCAAGAGCACACGCACGCATGGAACTTACAACTGCAAGGCGCAAACTTCACAGAACAAGATGCGCGTTTGCTACTGCCATACCACGGGCCAATCTGTGGACGTGCACCCACGGCCGCTGAGGTCGTCTCCGCAACCGCAATCCCAATCGCATCCGCAGCCGCAGCCCCAGCCCCAGCCCCAGCCCCAGCCGAAGGCGCGCGCCGCTCGCAAGGCCAAGGGCAGGCAAGTGAAACAGTAACCGAGTGCTCGATCTCGATACGAAGAGCGCGCGCACATCGCCCCGGGCCAGGAGAGGGAGAGTACAAGCGTGGAATAATTTCTTGATTCGCTGAGTATACAAACGGTCCAACGGCCACTGCACCTTATCAACACGCAAGAACGTTGATTATATTGGCATTGCGTCGAGAGTGTTGGTCCGCGGTCTCGCCCTCACTGCACCTGACATCCGACGGCGGGTGCGGCAAGCAGCGCGCCGCCCACCACGGCGCTCACCGACGCTCCGATCTTTTGGCCTGTCTGCCTTTGCTCAGCGTGCGCCTCGAGGGAACGCAAAGCCTATTCGTCCACAGACGCCAGCGTGAGGAGATGCTCTCCACGGCCCTCCTCTAACGAGATCGGTGCACCTCCGCCCACGCGCGGCGCGTCTCCGCAGAGACAGCGGGCGGCGGAGGCGGCGGCTCCCCCTTGAGGCGTGGCAGCGGAGACGACACCTGATCGCATCGGAGGAGCGGTGGCGGTATTGCGCGGCGCGGGCGGGCGAAAGTGGGCGGGCACGCTGCTGGCAGATCGAGGGAGCAAGCACCGGCGCTAGGCTCTCGGGGAAGCTGCGCGGCGGTCCGTCGGGGTAGGAGAAGCCCGTCGGGGGAGGGGCCGCCGCCGACTGCGGCGGAGGCACCGAGTGCAACCCCTTGGGAAAGGCGGCACACGCTCCCGGTGCCGCCGGCGCCGCGTCCTTGCCGCCCGCCTCCCCCGCCGCGGCTGCAGCGGCGGCAGTGGCGGCGGCAGCGGATCCCATCGCTCCTCCGAGCGCAGACCTGCAAGTGCAACGGCGGTCAGGTGGGTGGGACGCACCTGCGCGGGGCGCTCGGGCTGCGCGGCCGCGGACTTCTTGCCCCCCATCCGCGCCTCGAGACGCGCCGCCATCGAGAGAGAGAGGTCTTCGGCGGTGGTCGCCGGAGTGCGGCGCGAGGTGGAGAGGGAGGCGACGCGCTCCGCCAAAAAGGCGTCGGAGCACTCCTGCGGACGCCGGGGGGAGGAGCGCGCGTCAGCCTCCGCCAGCTGCATCGCCGCGCCGACTCCCCGCTCCTGAAAGGCCGGGGGCGCCCTCCCCGCAAGCACGTGCTGCGCAAACATCTGCGTCTGCGCAAACTCGGACACAAACGGCCTCGCACGCGGCTCGGCCATGTCGACAAAGGCGGTGCGCTGGCAGTCGAGCGCCTCCGCCTCGTCG